AAACGTCAAGTTTTGTAAAAAAAGTATAAAAAAAACGCATTTTAAAGCAGTTGAAAAACTAGTTTCATTGAATGAAATATGCTGTGCGACTTACCTGTGATTTCCTAAGCCTGTCGTTAAGCAGCTCGTTGTTGGACTGCTCCTCGTCCAGGTCTTCTTCCAGGGCGGCTATCCGAGCCTCCAATCGCTTCTTCTCGTCAACGAGAAGTGTACTCTGTCGGGATATAAACAAACGAATTATAACTTAACTAGCAAACCAGTGAACCAAATGTTTACCAAAACCTGATTGAGAACTTCGGAGATTTTGTGTGGTTTCGTTTGAAATTCGTGATTTCTCGAAAACCGGAAGTGCTACGTTACTCAAATCCGGTTTGTAGTCTTATCAGACTATTCTTAACTTATAACTTAAACATTCTCTTTATCTATCTCTTAGGGTTTGGCCGCTGAAACAGCACCACAGATGGACGGACGGACTTGTCTAATAGATAAGAGATATTAGCTTAATATAATAGGCTAAGTCGTTTTACTTTGCTAATTTGGTTATAAATTGTTTTATCGCCACTTCTAAATTTAAAAATAGTACCTAGCTATATTTAACTTTTGTTAATTAATAATATTAATGTGATGGAAGTTGACATCAACACATGTATTAAATTTTTGATGTCATCTTTAAATAGACGTCACTGTATGAAACAAAACAGGGAGAAAAAAATAGCCCTTGCCGAGTTTCTTGCCGGTTCTTCTCAGTACAAGGTATCCCGCCGTAGATTTACGAACCGACGGCGTAGCGCTTGACTTTCGGCTGATATACTTTATTTTGTATATATGTACTTTATTTTGTAGAACGAACAGAATGAGCTACTAAAAATTAAATGTTTTCAGTCACATGAGTTGTCCTTTGCGTGTAAGATAGAAAGGTAAAATACTAACCTTGGCGGATGAATTGTTGAGTTCGTCGAGTAGATCGTCTCGTTCGGCCTCGGCTTGACGACGCGCGCGTTCGGCCGCTGCCAATTCTTCGCTGTGCTGCAGAGCTTCCGCCTCTAACGCCTTGAAAATAAAGACCAAAATTGAATGAAAGTCTAAGCGAATATTAGAATAAGCACATTTTATGCGTTTTTGATGTGCAACACCTTTCCTCTCGCTTTCGTGTAATTTGTGGGAGTGATTACGTGAAATGGGACGGAAGTGTGTTAAAGGAAGTCGCGAAATCGCGCGCTATTTGCTTTGATTATCTCTTATCACATTTGGTTCACTGGTTTACTAGTAGAACATAACTAGCAAACCAGTGAACCAAATGTTCACCAAAACCTGATTTCTCGAAAATCGGAAGTGCTACGTTACTCAAATCCGGTTTGTAGTCTTATCAGACTATTCTTAACTATAACTTAAATATTCTCTTTATCTATCTCTTACGGGTTTGGTCGCTGAAACAGCACCACAGACAGACGGACGGACTTGTCCAATAGATAAGAGATGGTCAAATGGCTTATACCTTTTGTAGTAGGTTTTATTTCTTTGTTTACTAATATAAGATGAGGTTTTCGAATGTTACACATCATACGCGACTACTGTAAGGCTCGCTCGTTTTTTCTTTCTTTCTTTCTTTAAATATATTTTTGACGACCTCCGTGGCCGAGTGATTTGTACGCTGGGTCACCTACTCGAGTGCTCCCGGGTTCGAATCCCGATGGGGGCAGATGTTTGTGTGATGAATAAAGTAATGTCTGAATTCACTCAATAAACGGACTTTAAACTATAAACTGTGTTTCCTTAAATAACCAACGATACGGTAATATTAGAATTTATGTATTTATTTACAGAAAATATTTACCTTGACTCTCCTCTCCGCGTCTCTGGCGGTGGCGGCAGCTTCCTCCCTTCCAGCTCTAGCCTCTTCCGCTTCGCGAGCAGCTTCCTTCAGTTGCAACTGCAACTTTTTCACTTGCTTCGTGGCGTCTTCTTTCACCTACACATAAACGTAATATTTATTTATTTCATGATTTTTTTAGGAAAGCACTGATTAATTACTTGTTCTCTAAGAATAGTAAAATCGCTTCTAATATTCATATTTTATTTATTTTATTATTTTTTAGGAAAGTTATAAATTATATATTCTCTCAGAATAATATAAATATCGCTTCTAGTATTAAGATGTTTTCCGAAGAAGACACTGATTTCTGTAACACAGGGTTATTATCCTAGCATGGAAATCAGGGTATTCATTCTTTCATGTACTATCGCGGAATTTTGCGCTCTGTCACTTGGCGAACAAAATGCTTTGAACGGTTTTCTACAGTAGTTGTTACTACGCCCCGCCTTCGCGTCGGACGCGCCAATCCGGGCCGCCGCACAAAAGTAAGACAGAGAGCATTTCATTGATTGAATAATGAATTGAATTGCATTTGTTTTAATTGCAATTTGTCATCCGCATCGTGATCGCGACAGCGCTATACGAAAAAGTAAGACAGCGATAATTTCATGTTTATGAATGAATTTTTACTACGCCGCTACCGCAAGAGATTATGGCATTATGGGTGACAGAGCGGGTCTTTCCGCGAGTGTACCTACTTTTGTTGAACAATAAACTTATTATTATTATTATAAAAACAAAAATATATATTTAATACAGATGCTGACAATTGGTAACTTATTTTTCATACGTCTCCCTACCCCGTGAAGCCCTAGAACTTTATTCACCGACAGAAACACAATAACACCAAAAGATAGTGTATTTACCTTGTTAGCGAGATGCAGTGCTTGTTCAGCATCCTTAAGGTCTGCTTCCAGCTTCTTCCTCTGCGCCAACGCTGCGGCGCGCTGCTTCCTCTCCTCTTCCAATTCTGCTTCTAAATCGCGAAGCTGCTTCACTATGCCGCGGCGCTTCTCCTCGCCTTGTTCCTCTTTAGCCTGTCGATTAGTATACTTATGTAGATATCATGCTAATATTGATCCTTCGAGCCGGATAAATTAAAACTTGAGACTTTAAACCTTTAGATCGGTTATTTAAAAGTACTTGTACGAACAAGTACAAGTCGGAAAAGTTACCACATTGATTAGCTTAGCATATCTAAGGCGGATAAGCTTGTTTCGCTTTTACGTCTACATTGAGCATTTAGCCTTTTCTTTAATAAGAGAGATGTTTTTTTTTATGCCGAAATCTAGACACAAACGTAGAATATAATGTAAAATTAAAATTATTTATTTGAGAAAAACATTCCAAGCAGCAAGCTTAGTATCGCATGGCTGTTCGTATTTGCTATTTGTAAATTTCACAAGAGTCTGTCCTTTTCACCCATAAAGCGTGATGTCAAGTTTACAAATACCAAAATGAACCTCCAAGCGAAGTGACGACATTAAATTTCAAAATTCTTTATTTTCTTACAGATTTTTCAGAAAACTCCATAGGAGGCCAATCGCCTAACGGAATTGTTATGACTATCCCTATAGCTTACAGTTTCATTTTGTTATTTCTGACCGCTGAAAGTTTTGAAATGCCTCGTTCTCGTTTTTTTCCTTTTGCATTGGTAATAACAATAAGGAGCAAATGAGCGTGAGGTATTTGAAAATCTTCGGCGGGCAGAAAATAACAAAATGAAATCGTAAGCGATAGCGATAGCCTTAGCAAACCCGTTAGACAATTGACCCCCAGACTGATGTCAAGTTTACAAATACCAAAAATTAGAATTATCAGGGCATTAAATTAGCACCTAAGAAAACTCTGAATTTTCTTACAGAATTTTCAGAACACCACAGATTTGCTCCTTCGAGCCGGATAATTTCAAAAACATGATGCACGATGCAACATGTTAGATGATGTTAAGAAAATATTTATGTTTATTTAGTACTAGAGGTCGCCCGCGACTTCATCTGCGTTAACTTAGTTTCTTGAAAATCCCTCTGGAACCAAATTTTTTTCGGGATAAAAGTAGCCTATGTGTTAATTACGGATGTCAGCTAACTCCATACCAAATTTTATTAAAATCGCTCCAGCCGTTTAGACGTGAACAAGTAACAAACATACACACTCACATACTCACAAACTTTCGCCTTTATAATATTAGGGTGATTTGCAATGCCCTAGCAGGGTCATGTTTGTATCTATTAATTATAAATTTCTATCTAAGATCAATGTTAACAACATGGTGCACTAAAGGACCTGAACTTAAAAGTAATCCACAATTCCTCACCTGGAGATCCCGTTCGAACTGCGCCCGCATCGCTTGCATATTGACTTCGAGGCGTAGTTTAGCATCTTCAGTGAGTTGTAGGTCGTCTTCGATCTCTTCGTTTTGCGCTCTTAGTTCAGCCAGTTGCGATTCGAGTGCTCGCTTCGCCTTTTCTAATTCGTGGACATTCTTATCGGCAGTGCCTTGAGTGTTGGCTAACTCGTCCAACTCCGATTGGAGGAGGCGTTTGGTTCGTTCCAACTCTTCGATCTACGAACAAAATGTGGTTTCAGTTTATTTTAGATATTACATTTAGGGTTGCACTTTGTAATTATTGATCTTACAAAAGAGGGAAAAGAAAACAACTTTCTTGTGGTAACTTCATCAATGATCTAATTTCAATAGGGTATTTAACAAATTTTAGAAAACGATCTCACGTTATTTACTAATGTTTATAGAGTCCATAAAAAGTGGATATTCATCATTATGTTGTGTATTTCGGTAAAAACCAAATCAAAAACTATTTTCAAGTTGCCGCGAAAAACGTATCTCTGGACAATATGTCGTCTCACTGGTGTGTGACGTCACACGACTGTCATTATAACGTCAAACCATACAATCAAATGTCACTTTAACCGGAAGTTTACTTGCGTGTGACGTCATTTTAGGCTCCACCAATCCCAAGCGTTTTGGGTCACGTGACAATAGACAAGAAAACAATTATCTTTATCGTGGGTTTTTAGTAAATTACGAATATTTTTTCTGTAAAATAGTAAAAACTCCTGCCAATATTCAATCTAAATACAGATGCTAACAATTGCCACTTTATTTTTAATACTGTCAAATACCCTATTTGAGTAACGAAATTTTGACTTTGATTCGACGTTGATGTTTTTTTCTATTATGCTATACTGGCCAAATACATGCGAGCTGCGGCCGGCAAAAGTTAAATGCAAATCCATAGTGGTCGTGTTTTAGCGACCAAATAAATACAATGGTGAACTCATATTTGTCACAGTATATACATGTTGCAGTAACATAGATAAATCCATAATATAGGTCTATTCCTACGGATTTAATTATATTATTATTGTTTCTATTAAGTACTATTTGACATTGATATTTGACATTACCTAACTATTTAACTAATTGGCATTACTGTTTTATTTTTGTTGTTATAATTATTATTATTTGATTATCTCTTTTACTTAATTTTATTGAATTTAATGAATACCTAAATAAAACTAGTTTTTACGGGTTAAACGTCAATAAATAAATAAAGTTTCGTGCATTAACCCGTAAAAACTAGTTTTATTTAATGAGTGATGTGCGTGAAAACCTAAGAAACAAATATGTTAATGAATACCTTCTATGATTGTTAATATTTTGTATGTATGACTTGCCGGCGTGTTGGATTATTCTGTAAGCCTGCATGTTTAAATTGAATAAATAAATAAACGGTAACATAGTTATACGAAAGCGATTCATTACTGTCTCTTATGGGAATATAATAATTATGTATATATAAAAATGTGTATATAATTAAACATACAATAGTGATACATTCTACGACAATTATTTAGGATCAATCTTAGATACTACAGCAGGTACTCGGTACGGGCGGCCTTTGGTAAACAGCATATTCAGCAGAAACGTACCCATATTAACATGTCTTTAATATGTTGTATCAATGTCAAAAGTTGGTGTGGTTTTACGAAATCAAGATGCAAAGAAAACTTTTAAAATCATTAATTTAAAAAAAACCTTGCTCGGCTTGGAATCAAACCCGGGCCGTCCGCGTAGCAAGCGAGCTTTCTTACAACCACCGATGCTTGTTGTCATAATCGGAATTTTTCAGTAACAATGCAATTAAAAAATGTGGCGATGTAATAAAAGTTTGACTATAAAAAATGGAAATGTATAAACTTTAAATACCAATCATATTGTAATCATACCTTCTCAGCAGCCAGATCCAGTTCCCTAGTGAGTGATAACACTCTGGTCTCCTTGTCTCTGGCCTCACGCTCGGCCGCGTCTCGCTCATTCGCGTAGCGTTCCGCTACCGCCCGTTCTTCGGCCACCACCTAAAGGGATAAAAATAATTAGAAATCGCTTATCATATATACTAATGCTCCTTTTGAAATATCAGATACGACATTTAAGACACGAAAAATAATCTTTACTTTATAATAGGACCTCTAAAGTCCAGGAAGAAACCGTAAAGGATACGTACGGCGCCGTGTATGGGAGTCGGTAAAACGTTTTACCGCACACTCCGTTGTATGGTAAATGCATTTTTTGAGCAAATGTGTTGAAGATGTAGTTATAGCAACTATTAAATAATCTTTAGTTATAGTGCCAGTGTTTGCCAGTAATTGTTTTTGCACTATGCTGAGAATTGTTACATATAAGTTATAGATTGTGTAAGTTAAGATGTAAAAATGTTGACAGACCTTTCATAAATAAATAAACCAGTTCTGTTAATAGGCAATAAATAGGTAATGAATACATTCCAGTGATTTTCGTTTTCAAATTAGTTAAATTTATCATTTGCAAGGCCAGAATTATAAGATCTTGAGAAATTCACAGATCTGTTAAAATAGATAAAAGTCCGTGTTATACCAAATGTTAAATTAATATAAAAAATGATAATAGTGTGCTACAGTATCTACCTGATTTTTCTATCTGAGAGCATGGAAACTTTTTATACACTTTAAAATTTTTAAACGACCAAACTTCAAATAAATACAATAAAGCGCTCAACACAAAATCACACAATACAATATTAACCTCCGCACCCTTTTATAACTTGAATGCACGTAGGTGCTATTTTTATTAAAATTAAAGTCTGATAATTATGTTTACCTTATCGAAGCTCTTCTGTTTCTTCTCGAGCTCCATGACTTTGGCACGTTGCGCTTCCAGTTCAATGTTCGTGTCTTCCAACTCTGCTTGGATCTTCTTTTTACCTATAAAACGTACACAATAGACAATAATTTATTCATAGACATCAAGCAATTAAAAATCTCATCATCGTCATTTGCCTGCCCAATAGCCTAATTATGTCTCTCCACGGTCCTGAAACGGCACACGTGCCTAAATCAATCATTTTCACAGTGAGTACGTGCTGAAGTGGGAGTAAACTTGCAACACTAGTTCTAGTAAATAGTGGACTTACATTGACCACTCACACGAAAGAGAGAAAGCAATATCGTGGAACCAACGGGACGAAGAGTGTGAATGAGTAGATCGCTTCCGATTGAGAGGAAAGTTATTTGCATTTGAATTTATCTTACCGCTCTAGGTGAAGGCTGTTCAAATCTATGGTTCTAATACAAAATATAGTGCCGCAAGAATCTTTATGAATATGGCAAAAATTGGAACTAACGCCGCCGTCTTTGTAAACGTCCTATTTTGTATGTAATTTACGTAGACAGTGGTGTCGATTCTGGCACGATTCTCTAAAACTAAACTTAAATTTGACAACAGTGTATCCTTGTCATTCTCTATACAGAATGAAAGGGAGAGACTGATGTTAAATGTAGTTTTAAGTTTAGAGAATCATGCCAGAATCGGCAATCGAGTGACAGTTCAGGGAGGGCGCCATGCCAATGGCGCCCTCCCTGAACTGTCACTCGCATTCATAAAGATCCTTGTAGCACTGTGTAACTGAATTTAATTGTATATTTCATTGTTAATAACACAGAGAAAAGTAAAAATCTTACTCTTGTCAAGCTTATCGTTGGCCTGCTGCAGCTCATCGATCTGTCGATGCAGCGCCTCCACGTCTTTAGTAAGCTTCTTCCGCTGCTCTTCCAGCGCTGCCGCTACTTCCGCTTCCTCTTCCGCCTTCTTCTTAGCATCAGCGCATTGCTGAGTCAACGCTGCGATCTAAGGAAACGAGTGGAATTTTAAATAAATTAGACAATAAATTGTATCTTTAACATGTTTGCATCAATTTTATTTACTTTAGTACTGTGTAATAACCACTTATGAACTGTTTAAGAATCATCAGTACCCTTAGTACGAGTTTGAGCTCACGAAAACTATCATAGTTTTCGTAATTGTAAATTATGTTTCTATGTCCATTACAGTGAAAACTAACCAAATATATTTAAATTTAAGAAGACGCAAATGATTTAATGATATAATTTCAACACTGTTTATTTGTATTGAAACGAAAACAATAAAATCAGTGCCCTTAGTACGAGTGCGAACTCACGACACCACAGGAAATCTAAAAACCACATGTATTTAATGATAACCGTCGAAAGGGTTAATCATGAGGATTATATGTTCCTTAATAACATAGCATTTTAAATCAGAATAAATAACTGTGCAAGGTTTGCATAAGTATTGCTTTATTATTTTTTTCTCGTACTTTTAGTAAGGTAATCCTGTATTATTAAGTGAGCAGGTACTAGTTAATAAATACTTTGAAATTATAACATTAGCTGTTGGTAGCACGGAAAATTAAGAGGAACATTTCCCTGATGAACATTTTAATTTCATGATCTTCCTTTCATTTAAAATGCTATGTTATTTAGGAAAAAACAATCCTTATGATTTACCCTTTCAATGGTTACCATAAAATACATGGGTCCTTTTTTTATTTCACGAGTTTGATTCCAAGTAGTAACAGGCGATTTAAAATAAAACTGTAAATGCAGTTCTAGTTATTGTTAAAAATAAAATTATTATCTTCAATATTTAATGTACTGTCCCTCCGTGTGACAAACCCGTAGGACACCCTGTATAATACCAACCTGTTTCTCGAGGTTTCGTTTAGCTTCGTCGTCTTCGTCGAGCTGATCCCGCGCCTGCTCAAGCTGTTGCTCGATGTTGCGCAGCTTCGTTTGCAAAGCTAGCTTCTGCTTCGTCTCCTCTTCAAGCAATGCCTGATAAAAAAAAAGAAAAATGTTTAATAAATATTTAAATGTTTAATATACATAAAGTAACGGTCCCGAAAGACGTCCCGAGTTCCTGACCGATAGAATTAAGAATATAAATCGGGTAAAGTTAAATAAAGTTTTAAAAAAAACTTATTTTCGCGCAGATAACTTTATTTGTTTTTCGTACAAACTTACAAGAATTAGAAAACTTTTAAAGGTGATGGTGGTGAAGGGATTAATTTTTATATAATATAGATTTTGGACCACTCGCAACAGTTTATTTAAAATTTAAACAGAGATTGAAATATTGAACGTTGAAAATGCTCTTTCGCTTACCTGTGCCTCAGTATGCTGAGCCCCAATAGTGGCAGCTTGCTTGACGGCTGCAGAAGCTTTAAGTTCCGCTTGTTCGAGCTGTTGCAGCGCTTGTTCCGCCTCGCTTTGTAAGCGAACGCATTTCTCTTGGACCTCCGCTCTGTTACATAAATAAATATAATGATCATTGAACACTGTTTTACTTGCAACGCTTTGATAATATTAGCAGTTAAACTAACTACACTTCCGGACACATCTATCTGCCCACCTAGTATTTCATGTTTTGACGGTCCCTAGCTAAAAATAAAGATGTATTGAGCAAAAACGCATTTTCAAAGCTGACACATTAACCACCTTTTCGTGTTTTTAAAATTATCATTGAGTAGGTTTAGAGTTGTATTTCGGTTTTTGTTTTCAAAATTTTCAATTCCATTTCGTCGCGAAACCAGCATTCTATCAAAAATGTTTAAGGGAAAAAAGGATGAATTACCTGGATCGTTCTAACTCTTGCAACTTAAGACACCAGCTCCTGAATCTGCGCGTCGGCCTGTTTCCTGCATCTCTCTTTATCGACGCTCTTTAATTCCGTCGCGAAATCAGCATTCTATCAAAAATGTTTAAGGGAAAAAAAGGATGAATTACCTGGATCGTTCTAACTCTTGCAACTTAAGACACCAGCTCCTGAATCTGCGCATCGGCCTGTTTTCTGCATCTCTCAGCATCGGCGCTCTTCAATTCCGTCGCCAAGTCAGCATTCTATCAAAAATGTTTAAGGGAAAAAAAGGATGAATTACCTGGATCGTTCTAACTCTTGCAACTTAAGACACCAGCTCTTGAATCTGCGCGTCGGCCTGTTTCCTGCATCTCTCTTTATCGACGCTCTTTAATTCCGTCGCGAAATCAGCATTCTATCAAAGATTTTTAAGGAAAAAAAAGGATCAATTACCTGGATCGTTCTAACTCTTGCAACTTAGACACCAGCTCTTGAATCTGCGCGTCGGCCTGTTTCCTGCGCCTCTCGGCATCGGCTCGGGCCGCGCCGGCGCTTTTCAATTCGGTCGCTAAGTCAGCATTCTCCGCTTCCAGCGCTTGTTTGGCTTTCTCCAACGCTGAGACATCAAAACACTCGTTGAATTTATGTTTTTATTGTAGACTAGTAAAACCTATTAGCAAAACCGCTGGGCCGAGATGGTTAAAAATAGCACAAGTCAGGAAAAAATGGACTTCTTTGGAAGAGGTCTTCACCCGTGGAGGGGTTCTTGCAGATATCTAGAATTTTATTAAAACAAAAACAATCAATAAATTAAGATAAATTTATTCTGTGCATTTTCATTTCTCTGCATGAAATAAATAAAGGCTTTATTATTATTATTGTAGACTAGTGGCCCGTCTTCGCTTCGCTTTTAAACCTTCCCTAGACCTCCACGAACATTTCAAGGCCAAGATAAGATGAATCCGTTCAGCCGTTCTCGAGAGAGCACATGAGTAAAATTCTTGCTTACTCAGAGAGGTTCGGCAAATGTTTAGAGGCTTGGCGCCCATTTTCAGAAGTGACCTCCACCTAAGGTGAGTAAGTCTGGTGGCCTAGAACTTATTCAACGACAGAAACAAGGTGTCTCCCTTCACCAATAGCTTGGGATTTTTTTTATAAACACAACAATTAGCCTAGCCAAACAGTAAGCACTGTAAGGCTTGTGTTATGGGATACTAGGGTAACGGATAGAATACATATATAAGTGTATTTATATAGAAATACATATTAAACATTCATGGCTGATACAAATGCTCGTATTCATCACACAAACATCTGCTCCCATCGGGATTCGAACCCGAGACCTCTCGGTAACCGCTTACTACATGTTTGGTGGCAACTTTTTAACATAAAAATCGCTCTTGATTGTAGTCGTGGAACCTTTTTTTGTAAATGCAGGCAGCATACTTTAATTCGAATTTTGTTTGACATGTTAGGAATTAGATATAAAGAAAATTTGCTGTGTCGTGTTCTTTTTAGACTGAAGTAAGTTTTATAACTTTGTGTTTTTTATAATTTCTGTACGCTCTAATGTTATATGTATATACCTACATATAGTTTTATCCCTGAACTTACAAGTGTTTCATTTAACCACGTAAGAAGTTCGGGGCAAGGCATAGCGCCGGTTACTATCCACGAACAGTTGTAATAACCTATTGTGTCACGCCTATACTCGAAAACAACACTGTCACAAACAGATAACCAAAAGAAACAACAGATTGTAAAAAACTCCACCGCATAAAAATTATTTCCGTGTTTGCATTTAAGGTCTTATTTATAGCTCGAGAGCGCAAGTGGTTAGCGCGTTCGGCTGCGATCGTTGAAGTTATGCAACTTTCGCAGTAGGCGGTCATTGGATGGGTGACCAAAAATTTACTATCTCGAGCTCCTCCGTGCTTCGGAAGGCACGATAAGCCGTTGGTCCCGGCTGCATATGCAGTCGTTAGCACCCACCGATCCGCACTGGGCCCGGGTGGTGGGTCATTGCCCAATCTCCCTGTTCCATCCATAGGGAAGGCCTGTGCCCCAGCAGTATGGACATTAATAGGCTGATGATGATGATGATGATGATATAGCTGGAATAGATAAATGGGCCGTAGACCTACCATGCCATTCCTGAGGAATTAATCGACATAGGTGTGTGCTTTACACGTTTTATTCAAATGTAACCTTTGTTCGCACACAAATACCTCATGACGTACGATTATTTTAGGTCATAGCTTTTTATCTTCTATCTATCTTCATCGCCCTTAGATTAAAACAAAAAGGGAAAATACGGTATGCTCATACTAGCATCAAATAAAATATGATCCGACCCAACTACATAAGCAAGTCTCACACACGCACACATCTGTAAATAACTTTCAATCGAGCGAGCGACACAGAACAGTACCCCTAGCACGAACCAATATCGAATTCGTATCGTTTGCGAGTTCGAAATGTCATTGTCAAAAGTGTAAGTACGTAACGAGAACTTTGTGCTGCTGCTGTTCAAATTTCCATACAAAATTTGACATTGACATTTCGGTTTGCAAACTATTCGAATTCGATATCTCTCTCACTACGGGATATTGGCGAAATTTCTGTGTGAAACGGAAACAGCCACAGAACAAAAAAAAATAGTTCGTGCTAGGGGTACTGTACGCTTCAACGCAGCGCGAACGAAACGGCGAGTCCGCACGGCTGAGCTGTATTGTTGTCCTTTTCTTGATAACAAAAAGGCGATTATGTTTATAACATTCATGACAAAACCGCGAAATTTTGATAAAAAAATGGTTTTACAGTTTTACGAATTAAAAAGTATTGCCAAGGCATTTGTTATTCAATTTTGAACAATTTGTGTTCTTTATAAAAGCATTAAGGCATTGTTTTATCTTCTATAACAAAGAATATACGCATATATTGAGCGCACATGCAGCGTGTTTGAATGTCGAATTGTGACTAAAGCGAATTGTGGTCATGCACCACAATTAAAGCGGATCACTTTTGAGCCGCGAGTGCCCATCTTCCCTTTTTGTTTTAATCGAAGTCATCAAAACAGATTTTCTTCCTCAATGCGACACTTGGCTAACTAAAACATCATTCTTTTTATGCGAAGCACCAATTACTTAGCAACGAGCCATTGTCATTCCGCCTCGGCTCAGCGCCGCTGCAGACATGCTGCCAATAATCTCGGGCCGAGCTGAACGTAGACTCCTCTTCCGCTACTTCAAACGAGTCATCTTTGGAGAGGCCGAACTTTACGTTCTTCTGTTTACGCTCCTTCACAGAACTCATCCCACGATCACATTTCACGATTCAATAAAAAGGAACATACAAAATTTCACGTAAATCCAGCACAAACATTAATGTAAAAACTGATTGAATTAGTTTCGAAAATTTGACGTTTTGTTTTTTTATTTGAATTAGGAATGTAAATTTCAGTGTCAAAGTGATGATGCTTTTTACTTTTTAAGGAGGTTTCTTTAAAGTGTTTCAGTTAATGCAGATTAATAGTCTTTTTTCCCATTTTTTTCTTGGCTAAGAACTTTTCAAAAAATTACACACTCAATACACAAATAATTATTAGAATTCACGTTTTAAACTAATAGTCCAGGCAACGAATGCTCAAAAACAGGTATAGAGGGAATTGCTTAGAACACAATTTTTGACTTCGTGACTTTGTTAGGACTAGTTAGGAGGTAAACATATCAAAAGTCCCCGCCCGTAGCCCTTAAGCCGGGGGGAGGGGGGGGGGGGGGGGGGGGGCTTGAAGGTCCCATTTTTAGGTTTTTCGCATATATCTCGAAAACTATGCATCCTAGCGACATGAGACTTTCACAAAAGTGAAAGCTGATTAAATTTGCTACAAGTCTTATTCAGTCAATTTTTTTGATATCTTGTATAGTTTTCGAGATATCCGCTCTTGAAAGTCTGTAATTATGGAAAAAAAAATTGTTCCCATTTTTACTCTATTTGACCGGATAACTCTTCAACAATGCACCCAAAAAATAAATGCCGGCCGTAGGGTTGTAGAGCATTAAATTATCTTCAATAATAGAAACAATTGCCTTTTTTTTTTTATTTAAGGACAAAATTGTTAGTGTAGTAGACGTATGGGGGCGGTACGGTGGGCACTAGGCCGCGTACTCAGCCCCCACGCGCGGGCCGTCCTGCGCACGTCTGTGGGGTCCTCGCGATACCCCGGGAGACCCCTGCCGCGGAACCTCGGCAAGGCCGGGAGGCTGCTAGGTGCGGAGACGCGGAAGAATCCCTAAACGGGGATTCCGCGGCTTCGCACTAAGCAGCTTAGAGGGTGTTCGCAGGGTTTTTTAGCGGATATTATGCCGTATAGCGCCCGTAAGGGTTACGGGGTCCTCAGTGGGCAGCCACTGCTGGGGCTCGTAAGGCTTGCGGGAGCCAGGTGTGAGGTCCGTTCGGCGGTGTGCCTCTTAAAGGCGCCGTCGTCTGTAAATAGTATTTTTTGCCTGCGTATAAAAAAAATGGGTAGTAGACGTATTGACTAAAGGGGGTGTCCTGCGTTCCTGTTCCCCAGCGTGCCAAAATTGCCAGGGGAACTGCTTGAATGGGGTCCCTCAAGTTGACTCCGAAGGTGAAGAAGAACAGGAGGATCCTCTGACCGTTTCCCTACAGGGTTCCGATGGAGAAAATGACACAGACAAAGAAAATGTAAACGAAGACGAGGATCAAGGTCCTTCCCACCCCAAAAGAGCAAGAAATTAACTATATTGGATTTTTTTACAAATCTCTTTTTGCACGTCATAGTGAATTGTATCGAAAACTGCTGCCGTATTCGTACCTGTATAGCCAATGAGAACCGGAAAAAAACCAGAGGCACAAGGCCCTACCGTCTCAATTTTTTTTAAAGTCCAGTTTTATAATTTTAATCATTCTTAATACTACTTTTTGTGTTGAGCTGGACCAATACAACACCAGACAATCTTATCATTTAAGTAATCATCTAATTTATAATAACCTTTTTTGCATAAAGTAGTTAACTCTTGCAGTTTTTTTAAACTTATTTTCTGGATTGTGTGAAGAACCTGGTCAGTGGGCCAACAAGTACATATTCTAAAATGAGCATGTGTGCTATTTAGACATCGGTGCATCGTTAAAGAGTTATCCGAGAGTTATCCGGTCAAATAGAGCATAAATGTAAAGCATTTTTTTTTTCTATAATTACAGATTTTCAAGAGCGGATATCATTATTACAGATATTATTATTAGATAATTACAGTTTCTCAATGACACTAATTTACTTTCTTTTTTACTTATGGACCTCACACCTGGCTCCCGCAAGCCTTACGAGCCCCAGCAGTGGCTGCCCACTGAGGACCCCGTAACCCTTACGGGCGCTATACGGCATAATATCCGCTAAAAAACCCTGCGAACACCCTCTAAGCTGCTTAGTGCGAAGCCGCGGAATCCCCGTTTAGGGATTCTTCCGCGTCTCCGCACCTAGCAGCCTCCCGGCCTTGCCGAGGTTCCGCGGCAGGGGTCTCCCGGGGTATCGCGAGGACCCCACAGACGTGCGCAGGACGGCCCGCGCGTGGGGGCTGAGTACGCGGCCTAGTGCCCACCGTACCGCCCCCATACGTCTACTACACTAACAATTTTGTCCTTAAATAAAAAAAAAAGGCAATTGTTTCTATTATTGAAGATAATTTAATGCTCTACAACCCTACGGCCGGCATTTATTTTTTGGGTGCATTGTTGAAGAGTTATCCGGTCAAATAGAGCAAAAATGGGAACAAATTTTTTTTCCATAATTACAGACTTTCAAGAGCGGATATCTCGAAAACTATACAAGATATCAAAAAATTTGACTGAATAAGACTTGTAGCAAATTTAATCAGCTTTCACTTTTGTGAGTCTCATGTCGCTAGGATGCATAGTTTTCGAAATATATGCGAAAAACCTAAAAATGGGACCTTCAAGCCCCCCCCCCCCTCCCCCCGGCTTAAGGGCTACGGGCGGGGACTTTTGATATGTTTACCTCCTAACTAGTCCTAACAAAGTCACGAAGTCAAAAATTGTGTTCTAAGCAATTCTCTCTATACCTTTTCGTTGCCTGGACTATAAGTTATTATAATTTAATAAGGTAACATACGAATTTTTATGGGAATATCTTGCATGTGAGCATTGGATATAGGATATAGTTTCAATTTTATAAATAATAAATATTTAAAAAGTTCAAGAAGCTTTCCTTCGCTGATCTTTGGTGGGTACAAATAACCCATTACAATTTCGGATAATTTAAATTAATTAATGAACATTATTTGACAGAAGGTTTTATATTTTAATTATTCTGTTTTAATTTATGATTTTTTAATTAATTGTTCAATTTTAATTTAATTGGACATATGTGTTTTTAAATGTATTTTTTTATTACTATTATTATTTATTTTAAAGTAATTGTTGTATTGTTTTTTACAATTTTTATATGGATCTCGTGTCTGACATAAATGCTTTTATTATTATTCTCTATATTCATTGTCTACCATATTAATTACATTTTTAAATATTAATATAAAAATAAAAACTTTTAAAAATATAAAAAATAGAAGCCAACCGGCATCGGGAACAGGGTCCTAGACACCGGTGGTTAGAGCCCCAGAGAAAGGAACCTCCTCACTATGCGGGTCGTGACAAGGAGTACTGCCTTCTGCATCAGACCCTTGACCCAGTCACCCAACTGGACCCATGCTCGTCCACTGCTGGACATAGGTCTCCCCTAATGCACGCCCCTGCTCCCGATTTTCTGCCACTCACATCCAGCCCACTCCAGCCAGCCTACGAATGTCATCATCCCATCTTGTCTCAGGGCGTCCCACACTACGTTTACCGAGTCGCGGTTTCCACTCAAGAACTTTACGGCTCCATCGGCCGTCAGTTCTGCGGCTAATGTGACCAGCCCACTGCCACTTCAGTTTGCTAATTCGGTGGGCTATGTCGGTGACTCTGTCGGATTACATCATTTCTGATGCAGTCCTTCAGGGATACTACGAGGGGGCGTCCATAAATTACGTGAGATGTTTAAGGGGGGGAGGGGTCGAGTCAAATCTCATCTAATTTTACGTTGCAGAGAGGGGGGGTCTCGGAAAATATCACGCATTTTTTTTTGCTGATTGAAACAAAAAAAAAATACAATTTTGGCTCATTTAATCCAGATTGTACATACTTAAGATTTAATCTTAAGCGTAACGATTTAAGTATTTCATTGTTAAATTTTTATTACACTTATAGCTCTCAGCAATATTGATTACTAGTCTTAACTAGTCGTAATTAAAAGCACGAAGCATTTTTTTTTTTCATTTTACAATAATAATCCAACGTGTTTACGTAAGAAACCCACATTTTGAAAAATCTCACGTGAGATTGGGGGATGGGGGAGGGGATTGAATAAAATCTCACGATATCTCACCAGGGGGGGAGGGAGGGACAGAAAATTCAAAAAAACACCTCACATAATTTATGGACGCCCCCATAGCCTTTTCCATAGCTCATAGATTATTATTATTAAAACACAATTATTAAACTCACCAGCTTTAGCCTTCTTGATCTGCTCGTGTTGCTCGGTGAGTTGCTGCAACTCTTGCGAGTGTTTGTGCCGTTGTTCCGAGAGCGTCGCTTCGTGCGAAGCGGCTTCTTCTTCGAGACTTCTCTTTAATACTGCCACTTCTTGTTCACGCTTCGAACGGAGCTCTTGTTGAGCTGTGGGATGAAAAAGGAAAAATGTAGGGTTTTAAATAACTAACCCCCTTATAAATAAACTAAGACCCAGCTTGGATTAGTTACTTCAAGTTTTGTCCTGAGGGCCATTCGCCTAACGGAAATGCTTTGGAAAACGATAACGCTTACGATTTTATTTAGTTATTTCTAGCCACCCGAGGTTTTCATATGCCTCGCACTCTTTTTTTTCTATTGCATTGGTAATAACAATATTAAAAATAAATGAGCGCGAGGTATTTGAAAACCTTCGGCGGTCAGAAATAACAAAATAAAATCGAAAGCGTTAGCGGTTTCCATTGCATTTCCTTTAGGCGAATGGCCCCCTATTCATTGAATGACAAATGGCATTTGCGTGATATGGTCAAAACAAGGCACAACTAGATTTTGTATTGCACGAATTTAGAGAAAGGTAAGGTGTACAGGCTTGATGTATAGTGGAGTTTTTGCCGGTTCATTACTGTTGTCTACTTTTTACATTTGCTTGTAAAAAATATTTAAAATTTTGAATTAGCAGTTGTATCGTATTCTAACTCGAGAACTTCATACTGCTTGATGAGACCGATGATTAAATCAGATGGTTTGATGTTAAATAAATTCATTTGAGAACATAATATGATAAACCAGCAATTAATTAGAAATTGAAAAATATAATATAGATCAAGCAGTACACAGCACCTTTTGAATGATATATATCTGACTTGAAGTTCTCATAGACTATTCACTACAAAAATGCCTGTAACCGCCCAAGTCTAAGCTAATAGCACTAACCAGCAGTAGTATCCAGTGAATCCAGCAGTTCGCTCTTCAGCGCCTCCAGTTCCTCGTTGAGGTCTCGCCTCAGTTTCTCCGCTTTAGTTCTGGCTGCGCGCTCCGCTTCCAGATCCTCATGAGCCTCAGTTAAGGCGGCGGCTGCTTCGCGAGCGGATTTTAAGGCGGAAGCACGAGCGGCGCCTTCTTCGTCCGCTCGACTCATAGCCGCGGCTAACTCTTCTTCGCGTTTGGCTGTATACAAAAATGTCACATATGAGAGGGGGGGGGGGGGGGGGGGGGAGAGAGAGAGAGTTTTTAATTAACCATTACGAGAGTATTACAACAAGAATGAAAAAATACATTTACATTAACATAAAAAACAAAATTATAAACTAACTTAAAACCAGGGATGTTACGGAGCTTCGACTCCGATTACGATAAGGCGGAACTTCCGATATTATTACACCTTCGGTTCCGACTTCGGCTCCGAAACTTTTAAATCGGAGGTTTTAATCGGAGGTAAGCATAGCAAATAGCGACGGTGGCCTGCGTCGACCGTTAAGAACTGGTTCATAGCCGTCGCGTTGGGAATCTTGTGTTAATAATAAAAATAACCTCCGACTCCGATAAATCAAATTTAAAAACTGCGACTCCGATTTTGGTTCCGATAAATTTACCTCCATGTATGTAGCATCCCTGTTTAAAACTATAAAAGTAAAATAATGGTTAATCAGGACGCTGCCTCAGCATGATGCTGTTGCCACGCGTTGCTATGCGAGTGACAACAGCGCTGGTATTCGGGCAGGACATATCATAAGTTCATGTTCCTCCACACACCACATACGACGATATAAAATACCCCAGTTACACCAATACGATCAAAATCGTGCCAGAAACCTGCCCAAAAGGTACATTGGACGATCCACGGAGCTCCGTAAGATGATCGCGTTGTCTAAACAATATAAGGCATTATTTAAACATTAAAAGTCACTTCTAATGCATATTATATAAGGTCTTAATTAAAAAGCATGCATCAAAGAGTTATGACAGTTCGAAATGCAAGCTCGTAAAATTTTACAATTTGTTGCTATATGGGAAAGAATATACCTTATTTCTTTTACTCTACGTGCAATTATTTATTTATTTATTCATTTAAACTTTATTGCCACAATTACAAAAATGGACAAAAGGCGGACTTAACGCTAAAAGCATTCTCTGCCAGTCAACCTTTAGGCATAAAGAAATTCACGAATGCGGCAATTCTGTATGCGCCGTTAGCAATATAGTAGGTACGGACCGCGAGAAAAAGAAACAGCTATATTACCGACCATGCATTTGAATATCACAAATATTTTCTATTAAATCAGTTTATAGTAAGTATTAGAATAAAATTTGCTTCTACAATGCCTTAATACGTTAAATTAACTCACATTGGTGTCGATTCTGGCACGATTCTCTAAATCTTAAACTTAAATTTGATAACAGTGTATCCTTGTCATTCTCTATACAGAATGAAAAGGAGAGACTGATGTTAAATTTAGTTTTAAGTTTAGAGAATCACGCCAGAATCGACACCATTGTTTAGATACCTGTCGAAAAAACTACACTACATATTATTAGTATTTTTTTTCGAATTTTTTGAGCTCTGCGGCATATTGGCTTTTCAAAGGTCCGCGCGTGACTGTGAACCAAGAAGTGCTTGGGTGATGTTCAAGTACTTCTTGATTGGGACACATTTTCAGCGCACGTGGTGTATCTAGGGCCTGGGTTCCGAACCTCGGGGTAATTACCCCTCCGGGGGTAAATCAGCCATACTTCGGGGGTAACAAAAGTACCTTATTATTTGGTCAAATCTAAATAATACTACTAAATATAGCATGCGCTCCTTCTTGCTAGTGAGCCCGCGGGGTGCTGAGTGTGGGAAGCGGGGCGAGATTCTCTCCTGATAATGACATTAGTAGAGACGAAAATGTAGCGGCTAAATTGGAATTTCTTGGTCTGATGATAACATTTTAAAGTCGGGGTAAAATCTGTTTCCCTAATAGGTTACAGGGGTAGCAGTATTGGAAAGGTTAGGAAACACTGATCTAGGGTTTTTAATATCGTTGGTGAACTCACCGAGCACCACATGCAGTTCGTCTAACTGAGCGCGTCGCTCTGCCAGTTGCTCGCGTACATCCTGTAGTTCCGTTTCCAGTTTGCGTTTGGCGCGATCCGCTTCTTGGCGTAACTGGTGATCCTGCGATTGAGACCAATAAAAATTTACTAAAAAAAAAAATAACATCCTTGATATTATCACCAAAAATACCGACCCAGAGGCTGCAACGTACCTGCTGCCAAAATGGCAAATAACCAACACGAATACCCAAATACTTATTTGGGTATTCGTGTTTATTATTTGCCAACATTAGGTAATAATAATCAAGATTTCTTATTTGCACATATATGGACCCCTGATTACATGCTAGGTAGGACCTGAATTATGAGGCTATAGAAGAAAGAAACTTAAGGACTCTTATGGCCAGAGGCGTCCCACGACAGTTTTAGTCAGTAACAGTCTGACATAACCCGTATTCGGTCTGCGATCATGGAAGTTATGCAACTTTTGCAATGGCCGGTCATTGGATGGGTGACCAAATCTTTGGAAAGTACGTTAAGCCGTTGGTACCAGCTGCGGTCATTAACACCCATCAATCCGCTATAATTACAACTTTAATTACAACAAGGGCCGCATGATGGGCCCATTCCAACTATGCTATCCATAGGGAAGGCCTGTGCCCCCGCAGGACCATTTATAGATAATGATACACAGATAACGATAAAGTTTACGTGTAAGGACATGTAAGAGACTCTGAGGGTTCATAGGCTATTAGAAAAGTTTTTGAAAATATTCATACATAATTTATCAGTGTATACAGTTTCTATAATAATTTAGAATAGGATAGATATAGGATATTTTTAATTGTAATGCGTGTATCAGTAAAAAAAATTAAAATAAACATTTTCTTTTCAAACGTTTCTCTAGCAAATATGGCGTGTTTACAGGCAGGTGACGTCACACGACTCACATTAAAACTACAAACAGTACAGAGTAATGTCACTTGGCCCAGATGTTTACAAGCAGCTGACGTCATTTTAGGCTCCTCGAATCATAGGCGTTTTCGTTCACGTCAATCAATAAGACGACGGATCAAAGAGTCCTTTTAAATTAAAAATACTAACAACTACTTTTTTGGTCAAAATAATGAAATTCCACAATACACATGCGAAAAATTATAATTTATTTTTCATACTGTAAAATAACCTATCGAATAGGGTATTTGACCGTATTAAAAATAAAGTGCCAATTATTAGCATCTGTGTTAAGAATGAATTATTAGCATTAAAAATAGTAAAAACCCCTTTTTACTATTTTTACAAAAAAAAATATTTTACTAAAAACCCACGAAAAAGATTCATTTTCATTTTCTTATCTACTGTCATGTGACCCAAAACGCTTGGGATTGGCGGAGCCTAAAATGACGTCACACGCAAGTAAACTTCCGGTTAAAGTGACATAACATTGTATCGATTGACGTTTAAATAACAGTCGTGTGACGTAACACACTAGTAAGACGCCATATTGTCCAGAAAAACGTTTTCGCGGCAACATGAAAATGGAGTTTTTAATTTGGTTATTTTTACTGAAATATACAACAGAATGATGAATATCCACTTTTTACGGACTTCATAAACATTAGTCAATAACGTGAGATCGTTTTCTAGAACTTGTCAAATACCCTATTATGTGTGTGAAAAATAAAAGATCTTATGATGTATTAAGTGTTTGCTTCTATATAAGTATAAAATACCTTGAGTAGTTTCTCTTCTAGTTCAGCGATGGCCGATTCCTGTTTAGCCTTGAGCTTGCTGAGATGTTTCGCCTTCTCCTCTTCTTCGGCCAAAGCTTGGGACAGATCATTCGCTCGCTCCTCCAGGATCTGATGAAATCATAAACAGATACGTATTAGTATTCTACTAACATTATAACTGAGAAAGTTTGTAAGTTTGTTACGCATTCACACAAGAACTACTGAATGGATTTGGATAAAATTTGGTACGCATACAGTTTAAGACCTAGATTGAGACATAAGATACTTTTTATAAAAAAAATGAGGGTCCTGAGGCATCCGTAGTCTTAACAAATAATAAAGAAAAAAAATAACTAGAAACAATTCCATGCGGTGAGGCAGCACATGGCCGTCCTTAGCATTACGCTACCACGGCCCTAATGGCCGCGTTGAATGCTTTCTAGTATTTCTTAGGCTGCACGGCAGCGCCATTTCTTAGCATTGTATGTAACCAACAATGTAAAACGAATACCTTTACAAGTATTAAACATTCGAAAAAAGAAATAGCAATCGTAGTTATATTTTGATTTTTTAATCATTTAACTGATAGATGTTTGTATCTAAAGAACATTTTTAAATGATGAGTTTTATACCTTTTTCTCTTTGACCAGCTTCTGGTTGGTGTCCTCGCTGAGCGCCAGGTCTTCCTCCAGCTTCTTGAGCTTGGAGTCGCATTGTACGCGCTCCAGCTGCAGCTTCTGTCGGGCCGCTTCTTCCTCTTCCAGTTGTTCTTCCAGATCCTGTGGAAGATTATAACTTACAATTTAAGACGGGTTTACGATAAAAAGAAAATTCAAATCCAGCAGTAAGATCAGTACATATTTAGTGAACCTCAATAAGAATAACACATCAACAATATTATAATATGCTGACTTCTTCTTGAAGTGCTTGTAGTCAAAGACTTAACCAGCACTCTTAAATGTAAGTGCTAGTTCTTTGCCAGCACTTGAAAATTCAATTCTCAAACTGTCTTCTTTGATAAGAATCAATAATACTTTGATATCACTATGAAATAACCTAAACATAACTAGAGATGTAAATTGTGACATTGAATTGTCACCAAATCTTGATCCGAAGACCATTATTCTTCCTCAATGACTGCCCTACCAGCTTGAGGAGCTCGATAGCGCAAGTGGTTAGCGCCTTCGCCAGCGATCATTGAAGTAAAGCAACGTTCGCAGTGGTCGGTCATTGGATGGGTGACCAAAAATTTGCTACCTCGAGCTCCTCCGTACTTCGAAAGGCACGTTAAGCCGTTAGCCCCGGCAGCATCTGCAGTCGTTAGCACCTACTAATCCGCACTGGGCCCGTGTGGTGGCACGGTCTAGTCTCCCTTTTCGATCTATAGGGAAGACCCCAGCAGTCGGAACATTAATAGGCTGATGATAAATGATCTTATGAACTGACCTGTATGTTGATCTGCAGCCGCTTCTTGTCCTGCTGCAGAGCGTTGCAGCGTTCTTCCTCCTCTTCAATTCTTCCTTCCAGGTCATGCAGCAGTTCCTCCAGCTCTTGCTTGCGAGCGGCCGCTCGAGCCCGACTCTCTTCCGCTTCGGCGCACAATTCTAATTCCGCCTGAAATTGGAAAAGATAGTTATAATAACATATGATTCGGGATACATCGTAGACATAAGGCTATATCGTAGCTTTCTTTAATATATTATACTAGCTGACCCAGCGAACTTCGTACCGCCCTAAAAAAATAGGGGTTGTCCAGCGGACAAAATTGTGAATCTAAACCATTCTCAGATCCCCTTGAACACACACAAAAAATTTCATCAAAATCGGTCCAGTCGTTTAAGAGAAGTTCAGTGACATACACACTCACAGAAGAATTATATATATAAAGATTAACAACGATGATTGCCTACTCGACAAACATAATGTTTAACATTGGCACTTCACATGGCTATTCGTATTTTCAATTTGTAAACTTGACATCAGTCTCTCTCCTTCTTACACCAAATAGAGTATAATAAGTGCAACCTGCTACCATAATCACGACGAATAGCCGTGTGCAGTGCTAACATAACATTTTATGTTAAATAAATATTAAAATTGAATTTGTTAATCATAGGACACGTAAGTTAAACTTCTTTTTTTTATGAAAAAAACAACTTTTTAAAAGAAACATGCACGGAACAAAAATACATTATATATACAAGCAAATAAATATTTGTTCAGAACGGGATAAAATTGATAAAAGAGACATAATCAACGAGTTTACCACGGTAAAACTTAAAAAAAAATATCACGAAGAACCACCAACTAATCGTTCAGAACCCATTATTTTTAATGATAGTTACCCCTACAAGTTACTTTAAGGTCTGTAAGTATATCAAGTTCAACTTTTAATAACAGCCCTCTGCTGTGACTCTCAAATGAAAGGAGCCAATTTCGACACAGTTACCATTCAGTCAAAGAACTATCTATAAACTTTTTTATTCTGTATTGGGAATGATAAGGATACACTGTCGTCAAATTTAGGTTTGGATTGGAGAGTCATGCTATAGTTGACACCAAACACTAATGCATAAAAAAAAAAAAAAAAAATATTTCCAACACACACCAATTAGCCTAGCCCCAAAGTAAGCACTGTAAGGCTTGTGTTATGGGATACTAGGGTAACGGATAAGAATACATATACTGTACATATATAAGTATATTTATATAGAAATACATATTTAACATCCACGACTGGAGTACAAATGCTCGTATTCATCACACAAACATCTGCCCCCACCGGGATTCGAACCCGGGACCTCTCGAGTAGGCGACACCATGAAACCCGGCGTACAAACCCCTCGGCCACGGAGGTCGTCAACAATGTATGTATGTATAGAATCAATATGTACATGTGTGTCAATGTATGTATAGAATGATTGAAACTTAATTTATAAATTATATTGTGCAATTGTTTAATAATGTATTTTAAATAGATAATGATGTCGATTCTGGCATGATTCTCTAAAGCTAAACTTAAAATTGACAACAGTGCATCCTTGTCATTCTCTATACAGAATGAAAAGGAGAGACTGATGTTAAATTTAGTTTTAAGTTTAGAGAATGACGCTAGAATCGACACCAATAACCCTCTAAAGTTGCTGTGCCCGTCACATGGTTACTGTATTTGTTATGTACCACCTTATTCTTGTGAATGTGATTTACAATGAATAAATAAATAAATATCATGTAATCCAACGGCATTGTAAGTATTATTGTTATAGGACCGCGCACGTGTTCCCTCCTTCCTACAATCTGGGGTCCTTTAAGAGAGACGTGAAGAAGCATTTTTGCAGGCCGGTAAGGTGAGGATGGTTGGCGTGACAGTTTATAACTGCTGTACCAGCTATCTTTGCGTTTGAACTTTATCACCACTTAAAGTCAGGTGGGGTAGATACCTACAGGCGCGGTCCGAAGTGGGGGGTCACAGGAGACATGCCTACCCCCCCCCCCCCAATTCTAAGGTCAAATTGAAAAATCTTGTGTCAAAAAGTGTCTTGTGGAATAATGTTTATTTTATTCCAGATTCCTATTTTTTATTAGTGTAGTGAGTGACCCCCTCCAAAATTTCAGACTGCGACCGCACCTGCCTGTCTATATATAAAAAAGGCCACAACGTCACAAACATTCCAAATTCGTACCTGCAGTTGTTCAGCCAGCTGCGTCTTCTCAGCGCTGGCCTGCTGGAACTTGTGCTCGTACTCCTGGCAGCGCTTCACCTGCGCGTCGAGCCGATCGCGGACCTGTCGCAACTCGTCTTCTTTCTGCGTCAACTTCTCTTCCTGTTTCGTCACTTCTAACAGAGGTTTCACCTGGAGGTCACGAAAGAAAATAATAATAATGACACTTTTAGCAAAGGTTTCAACTGGGAGTTGAGTCATAAATTGATTTTTTTTCACCTCTAGCTAAGGTTTGACCTGGAAGTCGAGTCAGAAATAAATAAAAATATCATAGTACCTGAAATAATATGATCGAACAGAATGCTTGAAATATGATATTTTTTTTATTATGTCATAAATTAAAAATTTATGACTTCTGGCAAAGGTTTCATCTGGAAGTCGAGTCATAAATAGGTTAATAATTGGTTGTCTCAAGGTGTCTGAAGTAGTGGCATTTGTTAAAGAAACATCGTTTATTTTTTATAATAATAATATGAAAATTACAACACTTTCAAAGAAATTGTTATAGTGACCAAGATATTAGTCTAATCAACAACACATGAAAATGTATATGTAGAAAGAATCTCCAACTTTTAAAATTAATTGAATACATTGTTTTTTGGAAGTTCGATTTTAAAAGAAATATAGTGAAGTTTACTCGAATGCAAAAATTTTTAACAAGAAAACAAGCCGCAAAATATACTATTAATCATAAAAATTAATTCACATTGAGTAAATAATTAAACACCACTGTACCATTTGTTTTACTCAAGGAATATCAATGATTGTTATACGAATGTCTATTGCACTTACCTTCACATGTAGGGCACTACCTACTAATCCTTGTTATATAAACAAATGCTTTGGATTCCCTCTAACAATAGGTCGGACGCCGACGGGCACGGAACGTGTACTTCATTATAATTTATTTATCATATAATAGTCTATTGAACATTTAGGTCTCGGGGCGTTATTTACATAACTTTCCAACAATAATTGAAGCCAAGGTTGTTTTCAAAACATTCCACCACATTCTAAAATTCATTAAAAAAAGTGATATAATATATTACCTTAATGTACAACCTCCACCACTGCCAGTTCCTCAACTTCAAGTAGGCAGCACAATTTCTCTGGATGATTCTGATCGCGTTGAGCTGCTGCAACCGTTTCTGGTAGTTTCTCCTCGCTAAGAAGCCGCGGCAGAAAGCCTGGAAGTTGACGATCAGATCCGTGATCTTGTAATCGCGCTCCTCTTCCAGATGAGCGAGTACTCCGGCACGGAAGAAGATTTTCGATTGCCCGACTCTGTACAAGTTGTGGTCGAGCTCCAAAGCCTCGATCATCTGCTCGCAAGCTTTCTTGCCGTCCATGAAACCTTTCGGAATGATATTGGGAGTGAGCAACTCGTACCGCTGCCTGAACTCCTGGAAAGGTATCCTATTGGGAAAGCCTTGTCTGCATATCCTGATACCCTCGAGTACACCATTACAACGCAGCTGGTCCAATACAAGGGGCGCTTCGATCTTTCCCGCCTTTTTCTCGTGGTTAGGAATTATACATCTCACGAAGTTGGGATTCGTGTTTCTGAGTGTGGCCATCAGTTTTGTCAGTTGCTCCTTGTACAACTGTGAAACTGTTCTGAACATACCCTTTCTCGTTCGCGCGCCGAACTGGGTATCGGTCATCGCTTGCTGCGCCATACCTACGATCTCGGCGTCCTTCCATATGTGGCACACGAATGGATCTTGCGAGGACTGCAGTAATGACACTACGTTTTCGTTGAGAGGGTCCATGTTCTTCATCAACCACTTCTCTGCTGAATAGTCCACTTTACCAGCGTAATGTATGATCGCAAAGTCGGCGATGCCGCGGAAATCTGTCTTCATGAACTTAGGATGGACTGAATGAGCCGAGACTAGCTTTTCTACGAACGTCTTATCCGTTGCTTTGGGGAACCAGCACTCTTCATCCAAGAGTGCCATGATTCCCATAGGTTTGTCGATAAGGTCGATAGTGGGCTGCAGGTCCAAGCCGAAGTCGATGAATTTCCATTCGATGCCTTCCCGCTGGTATTCTTCCTGCTCGAGAATGAACATGGTGTGGTTGAACAGCTGTTGCAACTTTTCATTTGTGTAATTGATGCAAAGCTGTTCGAAGGAATTCAAGTCGAAGATTTCGAATCCAGCCATATCGAGGATACCGATAAAGGAGGCCCCTTGCCTCTTAGTCCTGTCGAGAGAGCGGTTGATTCTGTTTACGAGCCATCTAAATAAGCGCTCATAGCATGCTTTCCCGATAGCTTCTACGGAGAATTCTACTTGTTCCTTAGTTTGGGCTTTGGTAACAAAGTCGCGACCTACTTTTATTCTCGGTTTGATCAATGCTTTCGTCATTTCTGTTACTGAAAGACCTGGAAAGAAACACAAAATGAAGTTTAGTATAATTTAAAATCTGTCATCTACTAATAGAGATGTTAGGTAGAAGGTATTTCATTGTTTCTTACCTAACAAATGTGCGATCTTCTGAGCTACTGTGTTATCAGGTAACGTCGCCTGATCCGAATTCCTCTCCTGCTTGAACTGCATCGAACCGAATAGTAGAACCGCTGAAACTATCCTGAAGATAGAATTGAAGTCTTCCATGTTCATGCCCATGATGTTCATGGACTTGATGGTTGCCTGAAACTCTGCGGCATCATCGATACCAGGTACCGGCAACGAGCCATTTGTTAAGAACGGATAGCTCTTTGGATCTTCTAGAATGTACTCCGCCTTCTGCTGCGGCGTCGCGCCAGCCAGTAGCTGGTAGAATATGTGGAATGTCCTTTCGTCTTTCGCTTGTCTAATGGCTCTTGATTTCTCTAATAAATAAGTTTCGATGTTTGCGCCGGCTATGAAGCCTGATGCGTCGAAATTTATCCTTATGAATTTACCCTGAAATAAATAATAATATTTACATATTTAAATGTTGGAGTCAAGGATTATTGAAGAGGTTATATGTGTGTAACTTTTGGGCGATTAATGTAAGTTCGTTTTTGATAATACGAGGAAACTGTATAAATTATATCAGTCGTGCACATGCCGTTTTCGCCCTAAAGTAGCATACAACGAACTTGTTCAATTTTGTAATTATAATAATACAATTAATTTTCAAATACATCATATACTTACGAATCTCGATGAGTTGTCGTTTTTAACAGTTTTAGCGTTACCGAAGGCTTCTAAAATAGGATTGGCCTGCAGCAACTGTTGTTCCAATTCGCCCTACAAAGAAATTGAATTGTTTCAATGAATTTTACTTATTTACATTTTTCTTTTCTAAGAGCGTGCAAAGACAGCGTGCATTACGTATAAATAGAAGACTACAAAGAACGGACATTTGAATAATGTTTAAATTCCTTTCTTAGCACTAAACAGCAATAAATTTCCTGAACACAAAAAGCTTTAGCTAAAGATAGTATCGACGCACGCACGCAGTCTATATTCTATGCATGCTCCTTTAATGACTACATAAACGAAAATTTACCTTAAAGCAGAAGGCGTTTAGATTAATTCATAACAAGATACGAATTTCAGGTTTTCATTGTGAATCAGAAGAACTAAAAGCCACCTGTTAAAAGGTTGATTCTAGACTTGCAACGAATAGTATATTCGGCAGTATACCGAATAACGAATATTCGGCGAAGCCCCTGACCGAATAGCCGAATATTAGTACAGTCAATCTGTCGAAAAAAATATCGTTTCAGTGAAAAAAAACCTAAAGGGTAAGTCTTGTTTTTTCTGTTGCCAAATGACGTCAGTAAGCCACCTTGGCGATGGGCATGTTCAACTCGTAGGCGTTTTTTGAAAAACTCAAAAAAACCGTCAAAAATTTTTTTGAAACGCATTTTTTTTGTATTACTTACCGTTTTCAAGTTATAAATTGCTCAGGTATGAAAAATCCAATAGAGCGGTTTTGATCAGTTCACGTACACATTTGCAGTGCACATTTCAATGGACGTTTTACTAATTTTTATTTTTTTTCATGATTGAAAAACAAAAAAAAATGAAAAAAAATAGTTTTATTTTTATTTTTTTTTCATGATTGAAAAAAAAATAGTAAAAACGTACATTGAAATGTGCACTGCAAATGTGTACTTGAACTGCCCAAAACCGCTCTATTGGATTTTTCATACCTGCGCAATTTATAACATGAAAACGGTAAGTAATACAAAAAAATTGTTTATACAAAAGTTGTTGGTAATTATGAACGAAACAACTTTGCCATTTAAAGTTTTCCATTAAAATGATATTTTCAGGGTGAAAAAGTGAAAAAACACTTTTTTGAGACTTTAGCGCCACCTACAATGCGCATTTTTTGTTGTACGAGATTGCAACATTGACATAAATTGTAGTACTCAATGCCCTCTACAATTATGGTAAAAAAAAAGTTTCTAAAATGCATACTAAATAAGAAAAATGCGTTTCAAAAAATTTTTGACGGTTTTTTTGAGTTTTTAAAAAAACGCCTACGAGTTGTCATGCCCATCGCCAAGGTGGCTTACTGACGTCATTTGGCAACAGAAAAAACAAGACTTACCCTTTAGGTTTTTTTTTCAACCCTCAACCTACAGATTGACTGTACTATATTAGGCAAAAGTATTCGGCTGGATTTTAGCGCCAAAAACTTGTACAGACGTGATTGTTTCGCGCTCCTTTGTTTTGTTCTAATCTGCCGTCCTCTAAGCTAAAATGCAGCTAAATGACAAAACCAACTTTTGAGATATGGCCAAAAACGGCGCGTAAACTTTAAATTATTGCTATTATGTAACCATTCATCACATGACTGAATGAATTAAAAACTCTTAACTTGTTTAATACAGAAGATGATTAAATTATGTACCTGTTTTATGCACCAATGACTACTTAAATGATTATATAACAGAAATGAAAATATTAATATATACGTAATCAATCGATTTTAATTTTTCATTTTACCAATTATTTCTCTATGACAAAATATATTATTTAAGTATTCGGTATTCGGCCGAATATAATAGAAGCAGCCGAATAGGCCGAATACCGAATAGTAACCGAATATTCGTTGCAAGTCTAGTTGATTCAGATCAAAATTTCAAAACCATCACGAAAATAAATCCTCTTATGTTATGAAATTTATCCTGCATGCAATAATGATCGGCCTTTACCGTGTTATTGTTAAATGGTATTTATAGCTTTATTTCAATGGATGACGTAATCAATGGTGCGCTTAGCTTGTTACCTCAAACGTGGGTCCATTATTCTACAGGTTAATAGCAGCGTGTAATGAAATATAATAAGAATATAAGGTTGATGTTTTTTGTAAATGAAGCTATGAGCTGTTAAAACAATGCAAAAACAAGCTACTCGTCTTGTAATGAGGTGAGATAGTGTTATAGTTAATATCAAAATTCCAGACTAGATTAATTTTGTTAGATGATGACAGGACTACAACTATATTAAATTATATTCCTTTGATGTATTCAATTTATGTCATAATCAATGAATGGCTTGATGTAGTGCGTCATTAGTGTTTATGATAGTATAAAGTTTAAAGATAATTAGAACATTTCAGTGGAGATATAATTTATATTCTTAAGGTCGAAACACACTTATTAAACGCGACGCTCCACCTGACGCCACGCCACGCGTATTTTCAATGATCAGTGTGTGCGCATCGCGTCGGATGTTCGTGATGTGATTTTGATCATAGAAAATAGTGAATTTGATTTGACTCGACACGCGTCGCGTTTCAAAAGTCTGTTTCGGCCATAACTCATTCTCTATGCCAGATCTATAATAGAACAGATGATAATTAGATTTGCAGTTGTTCAAAATTATCATCAATGACTATCAAAAAATATTTACAATGAAAATAAGACTTTTAATTAGATAATTATCATTGTAAATATTTTTCATGAATATACGACTTTTAATTAGATAATTATCATTGTAAATATTTTTCATGAAAATACGACTTTTAATTAGATAATTATAATTGTAAATATTTTTCAACATCCGACGCGACGCGATGCGCACACACTGATCATTGAAAATATGTGTGGCGTCGCGTTTGTTTTGACCTTAAGAATATAAATTTTCTTGAACCGCATCTCGATATTGGGTGAAAACTCTACACACTTCCAAGTAATAATGCAAACAAATATTGGAGTCTATATCTACACACTCAATATTGTTTGCAAACAAACATCGACAAAACAGTGTCAGACTATAAAATTCAAATACTGCACATATTGATCGCAGTCTGAACGAATGAGTTATGTATGAGATCGATGAGTTACAAAGCTCTAATAACCCAGTAGCAAATACCAAGAACTACATTAGATTTCGTACTGAAAGTTCTATATAAATCGAAAAACAGTTAAGAATTATTAATTGCCAATTTAAAAATACAACTGCAATATATATCTGTAATCTAAGACATTAAGTGGTATGCCTGAACACAGTGCTCTACTGTGTACATTATCAGAACAATAGTTATAACTCAAAGGTAGGTTACTGTTCTTATAGCAGAGTATAATTTATATAACGGAATATAATATAATTTATTAGATAAGTCTCGTGACCGATTTGATAAATAAAGTAGGGATCGTTATATGTGGATAACTACGTCGAATCTTGTTGAAATCATTGTAGGTATATGAATTTAATTGGCACTCTCAACGTTACACCGTGTCATTTTTCTATATGCCCTTTAAAGTGAAATTAATATATAAGGTATCCAATTAATATTTTACATTTAATATGTTAAGTTTAATTGAGTTGGTGAAATTTTGTGGTTTTGGATTTAGCGATAATCAGTAACAGTAATGCAACTGAAAAACGCTTTTTTAAATGTTGCAAAAACTCATTCCATTCCAATTCATGCAGCAGGCAAAGCAAGCAATAAACGATTGGATTATGTATTGAAAAAAAAACCAGTCCATGATGTCGTTTCTTCATAGTGATAAATTATCCCCTTATTTACATTAACATAGTAATAGAAAATGTCAAATCTGATGATTAAGTTTTATTTAGTTATTTAAAAGTTGCCTTTATATATTACTGAGTAATAATAATAACAAAACCTTTAGAAAACCACTACAAGTGCTTCACCACCAAATCTTATCTTTCAGGTTGGATTTTTACGTTCATTTTTATTTATATAAACTTCATTGCCATACATATGCAAACGGCTTATGTATAAATTAATACCACAACCCTACATTTTGCGAAGAAACAAGAACATTTGCAGATTTTGTAACACCAGAATTTTTATTTTTGCAGTTATAATGACGTCCTCTCAATTAGTACTGCGGGCATTGCGTACTCCAACTCTAGACAATTCTGATGTGTGTATTTAAATTTTAATGTTCCCCTTTCTAAAACCTATAATTTTGCAAGTTCGAGGATAATATACCAAATACCCAATCATGATCATGAGTGACGATGATTCCCTCTTATCATGAGAAGCAGTTAGCGATTCACATGTGTCGTCTAAAATCTTCACTTACTATGATCAACTGTGGCGACGGCCCCTGTAGTCCGGCAGGACGCGTGGAAGAAGGAAAATGAAAAAAATAAGTATTATACACGAGCGCTTTGATAGAACATCATATTGACTTAGAGGTATCACAGGTGCTGCCAACTAAATACTACAAGTATAACAAAATACAATACAGCGTGTCACGCTAACACAATGTGAAATTACAACCTAAAGTATTACACATGGTTTTGATCAAATGTACGCGCAAGAAATATTTATCATCATCATCATCAGCCTATTAATGTTCCCACTGCTGGGGCACAGAGCTTCCCTATGGATGGAATTGGCAGGAGAGCCTAGGTGCTAATGACTGCAGAAGCAGCCGGGACCGACGACTTAACGTGCCTTCCAAAGCACGGAGGAGCTCGAAATAATAAGTTTTTAGTCACCCATCCATCCCATGCCATATCAAAAAGTATTGAAGGCATATTATATAAGTTTCCCATACATTTATAATAAATTTATCATTCTATAGCTTCAGACCGTTATATATTTGTAACCAATATGGTATTAAGTTTGGAAGAGTTATGGAAGAGCGAGAGTTCCTGACACAGGTAAATAAATTGTCTACTAGGGGCTCTTAAATATTGTATCACTAGCATAATATTGGTTATAGAAATAAAGTATTTTTGATTTTTTGAGACCAATGTTTCAGACATTTGAAAATAAAATGCTAATTTCTAAAATTTATAGATAAACTGACTAAAAGAAAACACTAATATATTATCTCAAAAAATTAAAACAAGTTTTTAGTCACCCATGCATCCCCTAACAAAAAATATTGAAGGCATTTTAAAAAAGTTTGCCATACATTTATAGTAAATAAATCATTTTATAACTTCAGACCAATGTTTCAGACAGGTGAAATTAAAATGCTAATATCTATAAACTGACTAATCTAAAAGAAAATACTAATATTTTTCGAAAAAAATTAAAACTATTGGAAGTATAAACGTGTAACCTAAACAAGTTAGTACTTTTGAGGTGAATGACTTTGATAATCGCTTTAGGTTTCAGTGATAATTTGCAATTTAAATGTACACTGAACATTTAACATTTGTAAGCCTATCGGCCTGTATATTACTTAAATACTATATTATGTTGTGTGACACAACCGTCATAGAAAAATAACAAATAAGTTAACATATTTTTCATTAAAATAGAAATAAGTAAGGAATAATAGAGGCGAAAATAAAATCAAGGGAATAGCAAGTAATTAAAAATTTTAAGTATTACCATTATTTTTTTACTTTCGAGGAATTAATATTCAACCTGAAGTTGCTTTTTCATTATTCTGTCTTTTTTGCAATTTTTGCATTACAAAACAGTAGTATGTTACAAAATCTTATTTCTATTTACTGCATAAATGTTATATATTAAACTGGCGTCGAACAGTGTGTTTGTTGTACATTGCATGCCACTTCTGCCATGCAAGGTGCACCAAATGTGGAACGCTATACAAACAGTCACAAGCCAAGTTACCCAAAACTTTCAAATTTCTCCAACAGATTTAGAGCTTTATCGTGTTAAATTTACAATTCATAATAGATTAAAAAATTCGACATTTGGTAGTAACTTGATGTGTGACTGTACCTTCGACGCCATTACAATAAACATACTAGCACTACCAATGTAGTCATAATACTGCTTAATAACAATGGCTGTGTCAATATTGACTGTACAACTTTCGGCTTTACACATTTTTTCAAACCCGATGCCCAGATTTATGTGTCGTCTACTGTATATATACGCTTAGGCACCTCGTGCCCTAAACAACGACGACCACGGCCAATGGCCGCAGCGACCAGGTTAACTAAAGAAACCATACGAACGAACATCGCGCAATTGGCCGCAGCGGCCAACTCTAGTTACGTGTCCCACAAACAAGCTGCGTTCGTTATTTGATCACGTGATCACAGATCAATCTTAGTAAATTTCTTTAACCGAACTGAACAGAAACAAACCTTACAACATGACAGATAACAGATTAATCTTTCTCGTCGATCAAAATACTACGAGCAAACAGATTTAGATCACACTGATCTGAACGGAATCACCGAACGCTTTAGATTTACTCTAGATGTTATAAATTAACGATTCAGACTTAAAAGATTGATCGGACGCAAATATCGAACGCAGCTGCAGACGCAGCCTGTGGACGGGGTAGGGTTGCCAGATGGCCGGGATTTTGCGTGTTCTCCCGTGTCCAGTAATCAGACCTTATTGTCCCGGATTCCGATAATGTGCTAGTTTCGTAACAAAATAAATTAATAACGAATGACACCTGCTTGATGTTTTATTTTTTCAAGAGGGGGGGGGGGGGTTGCAAATGTCTCTGAATTGATAAACCAGCATCTGGCAAACACCTGCTTGATGTTTTAATTCTGGGGGTTTGATTTGATGCTTTATTTTTCAGGGGGGGTGCAAATGTCCTGGAATTGATAAGCCAGCATCTGGCAACCTTAGGTCGGGGCCGGGATGGCGAAAAGTTTATATTCGCTTTCAATGTAAGCAAGTGTCAAACATGAGCTAATTATAACACAAGAATCTAGTCGCTGCGACCACACGTAGTCATTGCAGTCTAATGCGCGAGGTACCTTACACAACCAAACCTCAACGACTCATAATATGCCCTTAAAAATTCTAATTATAACCATGCTTGCGTTGTAACTGCTTTTTGCTTGATTCTGCAATATTGTAAGTTATTTCACAAACATAGTCGTAAAAATTGCCGTTGAACAGCAAGGTGTGCGGTCTTATAGGGACAGATTTATGGACAACGCATTAATATTAAACAGCTCCGATGAATCACTGTTCAAAGCCAAATCTGTCATTTTGCAAGACATGTCAGAAAAAATTGCGAGTGGAAATATACAAGAAACATTTTGTACATGTTTGAACGAGAAAACATAGCATTGGCAGCAAGAAATTAAAGAAGTGCGTATTGTTATTCATTTAGGCACGTTATTGACTGACCTTCACTTACGCTCAGAAAGTATTACAAATTGTCCTAATTAATGTGAAGGCATTTTGTTTAAAATACATAAAGTTGTAACCATGCACATATTCGGTTTGTAGGATTTTTACAATAAAAGCATTTTTCATCAATGCATCCGACGGACGTCGCATAAAATCTTACTGCTCTACACCGAAGCGAAGCGAGGGCGGGCCGCTAGTATACTATAATTTAATTAAAAATAGGGAATTTCTAAACACACTGCTGGAACAAGTCTCTGGTTCAAAGTATTTTTCTTATATATCGGCTAAGAAAAGGAGCTAAGTATATTATTGGCATATAATAACTTCTCTTCTGGCGTAGTCAAATAATTACAATAGCCAGTTATTTCGAAGCAAATGATGTCTGTCATCGACAATTCAAGTTGTAGCCTTGAGTTACACGAATTAAGCAACGATGGCGCCAAAGACGACAATGACTAAGTAAACCAACAAACAGTGATGCAACCATCTACATAATGGTATTTAAAACAAAATATGTGCATGGTCTAGCTATAAAAATATTACGGATGACTCATAGCCTAGACGTGAGCAGTTAGCAGTACCCATATATGCTTACGTGTCTAAGCTAGCAAAATAACCTACATTCAAGTCAGACCTGATTGAATCACTCGAGATTAAGCAATTAAAACCCATCTTTAAATGAACTGATTTCATTTTGTGATATTAAAAACGAATCTAGTCGATAACTCACATTTTCGGGATAGAAAATTAAACCTAAATACAGAGGTTTTAAAGTTCATCTAGCTTTCATTAGCCCAAACTTACCCTACAACGGTAGTCGAACCAATAATGCGCGCGCTAAAAAAATACACAAGTCGTTCTATCAATCATTGCTAGGTTGGTAATTATTGTGAAATGGTCGGTGTTTATAAGTAGTTTTAAACAACAATCAATGGTCGCTCAGAGCCCCACTAGTAACGCAATTACTGTAACGAGCACCGCATTAACACCATATATACATGGTCATTTTTGACGCAAAGCGTGCGCTTGGGCATACACCGTTTAATACCAGTATTTACGGCATCTGTAGTTACATTGTTGATCATTGATTTTATACAAAGGGAATGAAAACTTATTATTACGCTGGAATTTTCGCCGTTTCGAGGATAACACAAAACGTAGTCGTTAATTTCTTTTCCCTTTGCGGCTTTACGGCTACTGTCAAAACGTAATTTTCTTGTTTAAACGAATACAACAAGCTACCATATCATTAAATACATTAACTTTCTAAATATATGTATCTATTAAATTTTTAGTAGATTGATTCTTACCGCTCCTGAGCCTTTAGGCTTCGACGCGGCGACGTAAGCCAGGTACTGAATGACTTTCTTCGTGTTCTCTGTCTTGCCAGCGCCCGATTCACCAGTACACAGAATGGACTGGTCTTCCCGATCTGAAACATTATGAGAAAGTGCGTTACGTCGAGAACTCAATCGTATTAATTGAGCATAGTATCAACTTGGGGCGACGCGACGATTTAAGGGGGAAACCTAATCCTGGATCATCATCATCACCAGCTTATAAATGTCCCCAGGGCTGGGATACAGGCCTTCGTTGTGGATGGAATAGGGATATTGAGCTATGAATCACCACGCGGTGGGTGGATTGGCGCGATTGGTGGGTGCCAAAGACTACTGACGGCATAACATGCCTTCCGAAGCACAGAAGAGCTCAAGATTATAAGTTTTTGGTAAGTAACTTTTCCAATAACCTACCATTGCGAAAGTTTATTTATTTATTTAATAGGTGTAATTACAGCTAAACATATAAAAACATTAAAAAAATTAAATAATACTTACTCTAAGACATATATGCAAACCTTTACAAGCACACACAACATTCAATTGAGAAAAGTACAATGTAATTAATAATCAATAACAATAAATGGAATTAACAATCAATGAATAATCAATAAAAAATAGTGCAATTAATAATCAATGTTTGATTTAAAATTAATAATGTATGACAAATTGATGCAAAAAATAATAATGTAATGTCAAATTGATACAAAAAATAATAATAATAACTATAATAATGCGGAATTAATGAGAATCGAGCAGCTCAAACAATGTTGCTTTAAAGTTTTTCTGCGAAACGTCAAAAATGTCCAAGTTGGGTGATCTTGTGTTAATATCGTTACAGGTATTGTAGATTCTGGCCAAAGGGTAATGAAAGCCCAGGTAAGTTCTATGTAAGTGCTCGGAGATGTGGCGCACGCAGGTGCGTCGGCCCCGAGACCGCCCCCATATGAGCGTAGGAGGGTACCGGGGGGTTTTAGTGGTACTCCACTAAAACCCCCCGGTATCCTCCTACGGATCAGTGTGGCCTTCCGCAGTGGTCCTGCTTGAGTAGGGTCGGCACTGTTTCCCGTGCCGGCGAGTCCCACACACGCCGTGCGCCTAGTCAGCGTCACGGTATGGTGCGTAACTGCATTTCCCCTCGTCACAAAAAAAAAAGGTAAGTTCTATGTAAAGGCAAAGAAAAAGTCTTCGAAAGTGGCTTTCTTGGGCAAAGTTGCTTAACTTCCACGATCGCAGGCGAAACGCGCTATCCACCTGCCATCAAGCCCCTCACTGAAACTCAGACATTTCTGGCGAGCATGTTAAGTTCAAAGAGACAACTGCTAGTGCTCCATAAATTTCGATGTTGGTAAATCTGCTATGATAGCATAATTCAGGGCACATTTCAATGCTGATATATATTAACTCGCATTTCCGTAATTAGTGGGTGTGTACTGCGGGCAATCCCCTTTCAACCACCCTTATCAAATAGTGTCCTAGTTTTTAAATGGGCTTAACCATAGCGTCAACAATACATCAAGCACCATCACGTAATAATGAAATTTAATATATATTTTTATGCATTTTACTCATAGATTTATAAACCAAAAATAATTTTGTCTACACTTGTGGCCTTTAAACGCTTGTTAGGTGATGATATGATGATGAGTGAACTTGTTCTTCATCGTACGAGAGTACTTTTAAGCAATAATGTAAATGAAACACTATGCTTCAGGGATAAATATCGAATTTGGGATTTTTTATGAATTGAATAATAATCAGAAGATGCAGGTTCGAATCTTATCTAATGCCTGGAGGGAGTGGATTTTTTTCCTGTAAATGCTTGACGTGATAACGTCTTATAAATCGATGAACACCGGCTGCCCCCCCCCCCCCCCCCCCCCCCCATTCCGGGCGAGAAAACCGCGACTGCCGAACAAAGTATTTGGTAGAAAACTATCTACGTAATCCGTCACTAACGTGTCCTTAGATAAGAGACTGGTTTGGAGGCGAGCCATTTGTGTAATTGTTCACTAATGGGCTACGTCGCGATACGGGGACAAGTTATGGCAGACTCAGTCGTCGGCGAGACTTTGTGAGACTAAAACACACTACGAACAATTTTTTCTATCGGCACCATATTTCTACTACTTCTGGAATAGAATCTGTGCATTTAATTATCGCTAGTGATTATTAAGATCACTCTTATTTTAGTCTTAGCTGTACATTGATTTACATCAATGCATCAATGAGGACCTCGATGGTGCAATTGGTTAGCGCGTTCGGCTGCGATCATTGAAGCTAAGCAACTTTCGCAGTGGTCAGTCATAGGATGGGTGACCAAAAATTTTCTATCTCGAGCTCCTCCGTGCTTCGGAAAGCACGTTAAGCCGTTGGTTCCGGCTGCATCTGCAGTCGTTAACACCCACCAATCATGGCTGAATCTCCCTATTCCATCTATAGGGAAGGCCTGTGCCCCTGCAGTGGGAACATTAATAGGCTGATGATGAATACAGGGATACCAAATAATCTCCTAAGATGTCGGTAAGTACTTCACTTGGGCTATTAGTATTTGCTATTTCTTAATTTGAAAAAAGTCTGTCTTTAGCATGCTTTATAAAGAATGAAAAGGACAGACTGATGACAAGTTTACAAATAGCAAACACGAATAGCCAAGTGCAGGCAAGATCGTACATAGTAAGTCCTCTAGAAGATTTTACTTTTTATCTTTCTTGTCTAAAAGGTCTGCGCAGCGCACCCACAGCTATCTACCGCTTAAAAGGTTTCAAGTTTTAACTTTAAGAAAAGTTGTACTAATGCAATAATCTCACAGAGATAACAATCAATATATAAATCCTGTCGGAATAGCCGTCTGTCGACAATAGTTTAGCGCAGTTTCAACACTATCACGCAAGCGGCACGAGCTCAGACATACTGCTAAAGGTCATCTAAGGAGACAATCTGGGTAAAAGACGGGGCGATTTGTAATCAGTGTTGCCAGATCAGATTTTCCAAAATCGGGAGGCGTTACAGGAAAAAAAGCAGTAGATTTATGGAAAGAGCTGCAAGAAAAAAACAGTTGATGCAGGGGCGTAATTTTTTTGACCTCCCCCTAGAATTAGTAAATCAAATATAGGCCAGCAATACGGATTCTTCCACCCCTCAAAACTCGTTTTTGTTTTTTTTTTGTGGCTCGAGTGCCGCATTTTACGTTGCTTTTCACGCAATTAAAAAAATCGTATTGTAATAAAAACGAAAGTAGATTTATGGAAAGAGCTGCAAGAAAAAAAAACAGTAGATGCAGCGGCGTATTTTCTTTGACCTCCCCCTAGAATTGGTAAATCAAATATAGGCCAGCAATACGGATTCTTCCACCCCTAAAATCTAGTTTTTCTTTTGTGGCTCGAATGACGCATATTACGTTGTTTTTCACGCAAGTAAAAAAATCGTATTCTCATAAAAACAGTAGATTCATGTCGTAAAACCGAAGAACAGGAGACATTTGAGAAAAATACGAGATATCCAGTAAAATCGGGAGACCTGGCAACCCTGCTTGTAATCTATGGAGTCGAGAAAAAATACTGAGCAAATACAAAGACATTTAGGCCCATATTACAGAATGATAACTAAGTGTTGAGCTTAACTTGAGTACAGTTAGAAAGGGATGTCGCTATGTGCTCTATATAGCGACATCCCTTTCTATCTATACTCAAGACTAGATTTATTACTGAGAATCTTTCTATAATACGGGCCTTAGAATAGTAAATTGCGCACTGAGGAACGCTAATTATTTTGGTGTCTGATTAAAATTAATGCTATCACTTTCTCTGCGATAACAATGGTATAAGACAACACGTGACTTCAGGTATATTTAATTGAATTTTGAATTGTTTTTTTTTTATTTCACAGTATTAATTTCACTTTCATCGACTAAAAACGGGGTTTTCTTTAAAACTAGTTATGCTAGGCACATGTATTAAACCTCCGTTTTCCTCAACGTTCGATTGGATAAACAGTCATTTGCTTTAATTTCCATTTGATTTGCTTATCAATTGGAATTGGTGGAAAAAGAAATGCGCTGGCTTATATGTAAATTTTAGTGATCCTTAAACATGCGCCAGTCTACTATTATAGAGCCTTTTATAATGCACATAATGTAGACATAGTTCAGAAGGATAAATCGGACTTCTGAACTTTAACTGGGTAATGTGATTTATGGGCTAATTAAGGAACGTGGTCCACGATAGCGATAGAGAACACTGAGACTAGAACAAGGAAGTCGAATCGTGAATAAGTGCTAACAATCACATCAGCTGTGAATAGCGTTGCTAGGCGTCTGAAAAAAGCCGGATATAGTTAGACTTTTAGATTGCGTGTTCGGCCAAAATAATCGGTGTCCGGCTTGTCCGGCTTTCGTTAGGCTTGTACATTTCGCAAACGAACGAGCGCCGAAAGTGGCCCAGTGCAAGCGAGTTGACTGTCGGTCGCTTTTGCATTAAATTTTTTGTCGTACCTAATATTACTGGAGCTACAAAATCCTTAATAATGTAGGGTGTCCCGCCTTTTTACGCAAATGTCCGACCTGGCTACCCTAGCTGTAAATTATTTATTATGCTGCGTTTTGTGCTAACTTCCAAGACCGCAGATCGTAAGCGGCAACAATTTGCAATATCTGGTCAGTATGTATGACAGTTTTTTCAAAGACATTTCTCACCTTTTTTTATGTCTGGGACATGCCTTACGCATCCTTCAACCACTGGGGGGTGCGAGAAGAATAGTCCCACATACCTATATGCCCTACCTACGCCCTGAACAGGGCCACTAAGGGATATATTTCACCGGGACACCATGGCGGCGCAATCAGTCGCGCCACCGTGGTGTCCCTAAACTACCAAACTAGACACCATACAGACACCAGAGTCGCCACAGCACACTGAGACAGTATCAAAATGGATCTCGAAGAGACAGCACTACTGCTGTATAAACGTAAGAAAAGAGAGTTCAAGAGAAAAAGGAAACAGTGGTGGGTTCTCTCTCTATTGGAATAATCTGATGAGGAATGATCCCAAATTGATGGTCTACTTTGAATTTCGCTAATAAACCTTTCTGTATCGAAATTATCCATCGCTATACAATTAACAAACAATTAAAATAATCAATTAAAAAACAAAACATAACAGTGCACACGTGTTGCATGGAATGAGGTGGGGCCGTCACTGGCGACCGGACTGGCGGTCGCCATACAGCGCTATAGTAATTTGTGGTGGCGCGACCAGCGTGGATGGCGGCGCAACCAGTAACATTCTGTGCACGCGTCCGAGTTGGTCGCGCCGCCAAATTGGTTGCGCAACAAAACGGACACCAGGTGAGTAACTCTCTATAGAGCTGTATACATTTTGTTGGTAGCGGCGACTGGTTGCGCTGCCATGGTGTCGCGGTGAAATATAGCCCTAAAAGCCAGACAATACTCTTGCATCGGTCGACCGGCACGTTGCGGTACCCTGTTCGACTGACCGCACACATTTCTCACCTTGCAGCATTGAGCGGTACGCTGTGTCTGTGATGGCGAAGACGTGTGGAGGAACTTCATGCCGCTTGATGCCCTTGTACCTCTCCATGATCTTCTCCGTGTAGATGGGTAGCTTCTTGTACGGGTTCACCACCACGCAGAAAAGCCCCGAGTATGTCTGTCATAAACAAACAAAAAAAATTTTAACGGTTTGTTAAACTGACAATTTTAACTGGCAGTAACTGTAAGGTTAACCTATAACTGTAAAGTCAAATCCTTGCCGCAATATTTATCTTAGATCGGAATATGACAGGAAATAATTGTTTCTGCTAACTGCTAGGGGGCCTCTAGCATGAGCACCACGATATGATATATAACTCGATTTTATCACGCTTAATTGTCATATTACTATGGAATTTGATAGTTGGACATGATAAAAAATGTGTTATGATGTAAATTGTGTTGCTCATGGTACTGGGACTATTTAAAGCTAGGGTTGGAGACTAGTTCTTATAAAGAATAGACGATTGGAAACACGTATTATAATAATCTTACAGTAGGTTCAGGAGCTCTATTTTTGAATCAGTCGTCTGACATAGTATCGTCGAATGCGACATAAGTCACCTTCGACTTTCAAGTCGCATGATACTGATTTTCCGTATTTTTCAATCACTCGTCACCAGTGTTACCTGTTTGATACGAAATACGAAATTTTACTCATTTCACGCAGAAATATTAAAAACCCGTAATTACTACTCTTTGACGTTTCATATAAAGCATGACAATGATATATTATCGTCGTCTAATAGCACAAAAAAATTGACAATTATTCTATCATTCGCCTCCACCATTCGCCATGCAGCGAGTGGTCTCACCCATTCGTGGCACTCGAGCGATTCAAAAATACGGAATTATTATGTCGAATGAAATTTAGTAGAAATCGAGCGTTGGACGCAAGACGAGTGATTCAAAAATAGAGCTCCTGGTCGCGGCACGTAACTTTAGCGCTGAACAAAACGCGAAGGGGATAGCTGCGCGTGGATACGACTGGAGAGCCAATCGGCGCAACGCACGCCCACCCGCGCACCTCGTTTTCCCCCAAGACATCTTAATTTTTACTTCTACGCAACACAGTAAGCGCTAGAGTTTCGAGCCGCGACTTATACCCTTTATTTGATTTGTACTTATAATATACCTATATGTTTCACAAGTTTTCACGCACACCTCTCATTCTGTCGACACAGCCTGAAAAGGATGCGAACCGTCAAAAATATAATAAAAAGACGCATTTTGAACCCTAACTTTAAGCGTGTTTCATTTAATTAGTGTACTAATAAGTTATGCTTAAAATGACAGACTTGTGTTTTAGACTTCATCGAAACATCCTAATGTAAAGAAATGTTAATAGTGGCACAGTACTATTATAGTATTTCAGTTATTAAGTATTTGCTAATATTTTTTATTTAGGTCTAATATAAAAAACTTTATTCCCCTGCTTATGCTTCGCAGGAATCTTTCGCTAACTTTTTTTTTTATTGTTGGGAAAATGCTTGACGCATACCCCGCTCCTGGGTGAGAGGCGGGGTTATGTGGGACTCCTCCCCAGCGGCTGCAGGGGAGGCTGTCCGCTAAAAACCCAACAATGCTTCCTCGCCTATCGGAACTGCCCCCTGACCGCCAGGAGGAGGAGGAACCCCTGCCGGGGGTAACGTGGAGAGTCACCAGGATCCCACGAAACCCGTTCCGGCAGGCATCCCCCCTCGACGGGTGAGACTGTGCAATGCGGACGACGGACCACCCTGTCCGCCGTCCGCTAGCCTCACTAGGGTGGAATGAGGCCGTATCTTTCGCTAACCTGGCTCAGGAAACACAAAAGACATCATAGGTTAATATGTCTTATTAAGCAGACTATAATATAAACTGCAATATCGGAACTCAACATTAACAGCTGTTCTTTGTTTAAATTAAACTATTCCGTTCACGTCTCTTTGTTTCATGGAGATAACACTTTATCGAACGTATGGTAAATAAACACCGCTCAAGACTATACAGAACATTTTCGAAGGAGGCTGCATCGAAATAAATATATGCTTTAATGCAAGGGCCTACAGTTCAAAATATATCTTGTGTCTTTGTTATAATTAGAATTTCGTCACATTCAATGATAGCTGATTGTTTGGACAAGGATCACTTGATGGAAATTCGATACGGGCAATATTTATCCGGCCATCATAGGTCGTTAGAATGTTAACTGGTACATTATACAGCTCTAATGATGTCCATCAAGTTACTTAACGTCGATAAGATGGAATACAAAGTTCTATTACATAAATTTATGCTAGAACAAAAAATCATATGCAACATTTTTATGAAAACTGACCTGATCTGACTTTTAAAAAGTTGAGAATGTTTATAATCCTAAGATTTGATTCTAAGAGAAAAGAAAAAAAGCCATTTCCGTTTCCGGTCCAGACGGCCAGCGCGCACTGCAAGTGAATCACCAACAATCGCGTCCATCCGCGTTGTGTCCGTGCAAACGTAAATTACACGATTTATTGTAACTTTATTACACGTTTGTAATGTCTATTCTTACTTCTGATACGCTCAAATATATAAAAAAAAACTCTGGACTTTAGAAAATATGCTAGAATATTTACACATAATTTGACACTCCGCAGTTATTTGGATCAGTTGTTATGCTACACCTGATCCATACTACAATTTCTACAAATTGTAGTATAAATAAAGTCACAAATCTTTCCCCCCACCCCGCACCAATCCAAATATCCTTTGTTTGTCGCAAAACTATCTCGTTATTATTTTCTTTTACTCACATCAAATAGCCTAGCCCCAAAGTAAACACTGGTAGGTGTTGTATCATGAGATTTGGCGTTAATTGTTAAATTATGACTATCTGTTGGATGCTTGGGTGCATATAATATTGGTTTGCTAATAAAAACTGCTGAGTCACACAATCAATTCAAAACCTTCCAAAAAATACTTTGTTCACGAGATACACCTGGCTGACAGAGGGGCGGATAACAGTCCTAGTAAGAGATCTGCGTACACCACGTGTACATCTTTGTGTACCCCTTCTCAGGGGATGATGGCATCAGACGAAGCCTATAAGCCTTATGTCCATAGGCATCTCCATACGGTTGCGTTTTAGTCAATAAGTCTGACATAACCCTGCAGCCGACATCCGGTTGTAGGGTATCTATGCAGATTTCACACCCGCTCCCCCGCCTGGGAGAAAACAAATAAACAACAATCTGCACGGACACAGCAACAAGGACGCACGTGCGCGACTGTCATATCTGCAAATCCATCCGAGGGCACTGAAAAAGGTTCGGCCGATGCTAGCGACCACAGTCCAGTCGTGTCAACTGTCAAGAGCCAGCCATCGATCATACCCTGCAGCCGGCTGTAGAGTATCTATAAAGATTTCACAACCGCGCCCCCGGCTGGGAGGAAACAAATAAACAACAGTCTGCGCGGACACAGCAACAAGGACGCACGTGCGCGACTGTCATATCTGCAAATCCATCCGACGGGACGGAAAAAGGCTCGGCCGATGTTAGCGAACATAGTCCAGCCGAGTCAACTGTCGAGAGCCAGCCATCGATCATAACCTGCAGCCGGCTCTAGAGTATCTATAAAGATTTCACAACCGCTCCCCCGCCTGGGAGGAAAAACATCAACAATCTGCGCGGACACAGCAACAAGGTCGCACGTGCGCGACTGTCATATCTGCAAATCCATCCGACGGGACGGAAAAAGGCTCGGCCGATGTTAGCGAACATAGTCCAGCCGAGTCAACTGTCGAGAGCCAGCCATCGATCATAACCTGCAGCCGGCTCTAGAGTATCTATAAAGATTTCACAACCGCTCCCCCGCCTGGGAGGAAAAACATCAACAATCTGCGCGGACACAGCAACAAGGTCGCACGTGCGCGACTGTCATATCTGCAAATCCATCCGAGGGCACTGAAAAAGGTTAGGCCGATGATAGCGAACATAGTCCAGTCGAGTCAACTGTCAAGAGCCAGCCATCGATCATACCCTGCAGCCGGCTGTAGAGTATCTATAAAGATTTCACAACCGCTCCCCCGCCTGGGAGAAAACAAATAAACAACAATCTGCGCGGACACTCGCACGTGCGCGACTGTCATATCTGCAAATCCATCGCGAACATAGTCCAGTCGAGTCAACTGTCAAGAGCCAGCCATCGATCATACCCTGCAGCCGGCTGTAGAGTATCTATAAAGATTTCACAACCGCTCCCCCGCCTGGGAGAAAACAAATAAACAACAATCTGCGCGGACACTCGCACGTGCGCGACTGTCATATCTGCAAATCCATCGCGAACATAGTCCAGTCGAGTCAACTGTCAAGAGCCAGCCATCGATCATACCCTGCAGCCGGCTGTAGAGTATCTATAAAGATTTCACAACCGCTCCCCCGCCTGGGACGAAAAACATCAACAATCTGCGCGGACACAGCAACAAGGTCGCACGTGCGCGACTGTCATATCTGCAAATCCATCCGAGGGCACTGAAAAAGGTTCGGCCGATGCTAGCGACCATAGTCCAGTCGTGTCAACTGTCAAGACCCAGCCATCGATCATAGATCGGAGCAAACAAGCAATTAGACGTGGAATTATCGCTTTCGACTAATTGGCCGTGTCGTAAACTTATGCGGTGCTGACCTCACCCTCGTTAGTTGCCGTCCAAACAAGGCAGGCACTAGCCCTGGCCCGCAGCGTCGGCCGTCTCGGCGTGAGATTTTTCCTTTTTTTCGTGCAACTGTCTCGGTAAACGGTCATAATGTCGCGCAACTATTTAGTCCATGGACGCAGTAACAATTGACGCCACACCATAGGCGTCGCTCGCAATACTTAAGTACATATACCTATTTATTTAAAATTTATTGCCACAATTACAAAATGGACGAAAAGCGGACTTAACTCTAAAATCATTCTCTGCCAGTCAACCTATTGCTAAGACTTCGAAAACATTACAAACTATTACCTCTTATTAATTCTCATAGCGCCTTATGGAGGTTTTACGGTCTATCTGTAAACAGGCTTTACTTTTGATATTCAAATTTCAATTTAGTTTCATAATTCCATTATTTAATACTCTGTACGACTACTCAGCTGTTTCGGGTGTATGTATGATTTTTACTAATATTTTTTTATCGCTTCACTTACAGGTACCGTAGTCACGAGACAGTCTTGATACATAATAATTACAAACAGTATATTATTAATAATAATCTTCGGCTTCATCAAAGGCATTATTATCGCTTCACTTACAGGTACCGTAGTCACGAGACAGTCTTGATACATAATAATTACAAACAGTATATTATTAATAATAATCTTCGGCTTCATCAAAGGCGTTATGCCATACAGCGTTAACTGATAAGTTATCGCGAACAGATACGTAGGGGCATTTGGAATCAATTTGCGATCTGACCCAATGTCTAGAATCATTTATATTTAATATTATATTATAATTAGAACTTAACGTTGTCATATTTCTTGTCTGCTCGGTATATAATAGCAAATATAATCAATTATGATAAGAAATAGTTACGTCATTTCGTATTTAACACATTCGATTTATTAAATCTTTCTGTTTAGCATTTTATTAAGAGAGATAATAAATCATTAAAAATACATGAAAACTTTTTATTAAAATCAGACGGTGCGTGCATACGCAATGTCTGCATAGGTCTGCAAATAAATAAAAGAAATTATCGACATATTCTTGTAGACGTTCAGTTTCCCTAATATTATAGTAATTAGCATAATCAATACCACGTCCCTTGTTTTGTTTCGTAATGATTTTATAATTGCTGTAAAGAATTTAGAAAATGCGAAGAACAAGTTATTTTAGCGTTTCCAAACAATACCTCTGATAAGGTTTACTGCCATAGAAACAGCTGTGTAAATTTGTCAACATAGAAACACGTCTATCGGAATTTGTAATTTGGCCATGTATCGAAAATGGAGAGTCCAAAAATAAATTATTGTTCAGTATTTACGGTATTTCTAACTCTTAATATCTTGTCGATGTAGTTCAGACCGATGGACGGTAGGGTCCCAAGGTGTATCAATGGCGACTTCGCACCGCTGGGAAGCGCGTAGACCCCTCACCAGTAGGCCCTGCCAGAATTATCAGCGCTGTAGCGCCTTAGTGTTGCTGTAGTATTAAGCTGAGGCAGGGACCTAGTTGGCCTGTTTTGCTGTGTTCTGTTTATGTAAATATGTGTTTAAGGCCAATAATTTTTTTTTCTTCCTTTCTTTCAGGTGGACTGACGACATCAAGCATATCGGGGAGACCCACTGGATGCGGTTAGCGCAGCATCGTTGTGTAGAAATCCCTAGAGGAGACTTATATCCAGGAGTGGACGTCCAAAGGCTGATGTTGATGATGATATAAGATGTAGTACTATATTTCCTCAGGTTCGATCATCGATTCCTCATGGTTGTTTAACGTTTTCATCCAGAACACAGTATATACAATCTAAATTGGCACCCTGCGCCGCCGCTTTACCCATTTTGCGTATTACATATTTTGTTAAGTTGCTGAAGTATTTTCCTCATTGGTTCATCATAATCACATATTTCAGGTTTTCCTGATTTAATACAATTAGCGTTCGCGAAATACACTTAATTGAAATCAAAAGCAAAGCAAGGTTATTTTTTACCTGTTAGATAATGCAGTACGCAACATCTATACTAATATTATGAAGAGGAAAGATTGTTTTTTTTTTGCTTATTTGTATTGAATAGGCTCCGAAACTACTGGCCCGATACGAAATTTTTCACATTAAGAATCCTTCATTATTCGTGATCAACATAGGCTATAGATTTTTTTCAAAAAAGTCAGTATCGAGCTACTCAAGGCCAGATTTTAATTATTTAAATTTGTACGCTCAAACAAACTAACTGTGTGTATGTGTGTGCACAGTTGCCCGAGTGACCCGTTAATAAGAAATTAACGATAACCCCAAATTACCTTCAATCAAACTAATTTATACGCTGGAATATTATAATCTTTGCAAACAGATAAATGGGCTACTCTGTCTGAACTAACGTTACCAAAGTTTTTATAACTTTATTAAAATGTTTTGATAATTTGCCAATCAATAAAAACTTTTTAACAAAAAAAAACGGCGCAATGGAATAAAAATAAACCTTTTTATCTTCAGTCAAATTAATATTTGGTTTCGGTGCCGGTGCCAGGCCAACCCAAGTAGTAAATGGGAACTCAGATCTATCAGACCTGCATGGCACCGACTTCAAACATTAATTTGACTAAAGATAAAAAGGTTTAATATTATTTACTTATCGGTGGTTGAATTTTTTTGTTAAAAAGTTTTTTTTTTGTGGCTAGGTATTTCTGTAATATTCAACTCGGCATCAAAATCACCCCTTTTTCCCCACCCTTTGGGACGTTTTTTTTCCAATTTTATGTGTGATCAAAGATGATGTTTCTCCTTTGCAAAAAAATAAGGATTATCAAAATCAGACTTCGCTGTAAAAAGTTGTGTGGTTCATACATTACAACCAGTGAGTTAACAATCAATCATCCCCTGTTATTATACCCTTAGAGTTTGGATTTTTTTTCCAAATTCATATGGGACCAATTTCGGGATATATCTTTCGCTACCCTTTCCAATAAAAAAAATAATTATCAAAATCCGACTACTCTGTAAAAAGTAATGCGTGTTCATATTTTTATTTTCATGAACAATTCGAAATTCTAATTCAATAAACTTTTTTGTGGCCAGCATTCTAAAAGAAAAGATTTTACTGTGTGACTATACTTATGACCTGACTGTATATTAACGAGCTTTTGTCCTTAACTGTACTGTAAATCAAACACTTCTTTCTTTATTTTTGGGTCCCAACTTACCACTCAAAATAATCATTAATCATCGGTGTCATTCGGGACCACTAGCTTCGGTCCCGAATGCCACCTCGAAATAACGTATTAATTCCATATCCCCATCAAGACCAGTGGTCCCGGTCCCAGATGACTACCGACTCTCTCCGTAATTTATGTCGGTTAAAAACTACCGAGACGCCGAAAACAGTTTTCCTGAAACACAAGCACGAATTTTGACAGTTCCGTATCTGTAATCGTACGCATCGTTAAAGTTTCTATGAAAACTGAGCAGCGCCTCTATCGGAAATAAGAACAAATTAGCTTTTCAATACATAATTTTACGTTGCCGATACGATTACGGAAATGACAAAATTCGTGCTTGGCCCTCTGCACCAATCGCAGCGCCGATTGGAGGAAATAACTACACCCTTACTGAAGACACAGCGACTTTATAATGTGACACTCGGTTATATTTTAAAATTATTATTTAATTCTAAAAATACAGTTACAA